TTTATCTTTCTAAAAATAATCATAGGAACTCTCCCTAATTCTCCGTAGAGACCAGTAGTATTAGTTGATCTATTAACATATAAAAGTTTTCGACATAATTTTGTATGAATAAGTTCTATATCTGTTCCTGCATTCATTCCCCAGACTTCTGAACAGTAGTTTAGTACAGTAGCAACTAGCGAATCAAACAATTTACTTTTTTCAATCGTAGAAAAATCGTACTTATCAAACATTGAAAATAGTTTATGTAAAGATTTAGATGCATGTTCTGCAATACATTTTTGGGTTCTATTCCAATTTGCATTTTTGAAAAAATATACGCCTAAATATTTAAAAGAAGTAACATTTTCTAGTAGAGTATTATAAAGGTAAAAATCATAATTTGTATGTCTACTGCCTTTTTCAAAAATCATAACCTTAGTCTTTGAAGTATTTATTTTTAGACCCCATGTATTACAATATATTTCAATATCATTTATCATTGATTGTAAGGATTCTGGTGATGTTGCAAATAACACCTGATCATCTGCGTATAAAATTAAAAATAAACTTAAATCTTCGTATGTGAATAATCCATCTAGATTAGTATCTATATTGTCAACAATATCATTTACGAACATCATAAACATCAAAGAAGAACTCGGGTCTCCCTGTTTCACGCCCAAGTGTGAGAGAATTGGCTCAGAGAGTCTATTATTAAACCTAATACGTAATCGAACAGTTCCATACATAGATTTTATTGCGTTTACCATTCTAGAGCTAACGTTTTCACTTAATAACTTTTGCCAGAGAAATGATCTATTTATCTTATCAAAACATTTTTCATAATCAATGAATACACTTTATACTTCTTTACCAGAATTTAATAATTTTGAAATAACAGAATGCAAAATGAAAACACAATCGACTGTACTTTTCCCTTTTTGAAATCCGAATTGATTATTAGCAATTTTCTCATATTGTATAGTCCATTTAGTTAACCTATTTAAAAGTACCTGAGAATATATTTTGGCTATTATATTATTTAAAGTTACACCCCGATAGTTTTTTGCGTCAGTTTCGTCTCCGCCTTTAAATATTGGTATAATATATCCATCTCCCCAAGCTTCAGGGTAATCAGAATTTAAGAATAATCTATTAAATATATTAAGTAAGTATGGAGAAATGATATCATACGACGACTTAATAATTTCTGCGGATATACAATCGAGATCACATGCCTTAAAACTTTTTTGTCCATATACTGCGTTCCGAATTTCATTCTCGGTAATATCTTTATCTAAATTTTCATAAATATTGGTTTCTTGTCTAAATTCTGATTCTTGATCATTAGTTTCAGGTATTTCCCCAAAAAGATTATTAAAGTGATCGTAAAGTTCATCTATTTCTATTTTTTCTTCACAGCTGTTTTTACTTTTATAGCATTTTTTTTATTGACTTCCAGAATGTACGCGGTTGTGTTTTTGCAATTTCTTCTAAACGTTTCGCTTCATTAATTTTAAAATTAGTTTTTGCTTTTTTCTTTATTAGATTGTATTTAGTTCTACTTTTGGTGAATTTTATTCTATTTTCATCAGTTTTATTTCTCAGAAATAAATTCCTAGCTATTTTAAATTCTTTTTTAGCCAAGAAGCATGATTCATCAAACCATTCCGACTTTTTATGTGTCCGAATTTGTATATCCGAAACAGGGACATCCTTTCCGAATATTTTCATAGCATTTGAATACAAATAGTTTGAAAGTGTCTCGGTCTGTGTTTCAACAGTATAGTTATCCCCAACGCAGGAATCTATATCAGTTTTATTTGCAAGTAGAAGTTCTAAAAAATCTTTTACTTTGTCATTATCCCAAATTATTTTGTTTTCAGTAACATTTTCTTTAACCCTGCTATATGTCTGATCATTAAATAGACGACATTTTCTATTAAAGGTAAAATATAAAGGTGCATGATCCGAAAATTCATTCCATTCTAAAATATCAAAATCAGAAATAAAACTATAATTCAAAAAATGTGATAAAAATTGATCAGTTACACTAAGTCCACGTGCTGAGCAGAAGGTAAAGTCACCTTTACATTGATCTCCATGTATTCGACCATTAAGTATGATATATCCTGTACTTTTACACATAGAAATTAATTTTTTCCATTATTATCAATACAATTATCTTGATTTATACGTATTGGTATATTACTAATTTCAACCATTAAATCATCATCATTATCAATATCAAGGTATCTATCATACTCTAAAATATCATTTAAATCGGACGTTCTTGAATTGAAGTCTCCTATTACATAGACTTTTCCTAATTTACTATATTTTTCTATACCTTTTTCAATTTCTTCAAAAAAATCTACTTCTTTATGATTTAATACATTTGAGCCTTTCGGCGGAATATACAAATTACATAAAAATACATCTTCATTGAAATCAAAAACATCATGAGAAATTTTAAGCCATATAAGTCCATCATTGTTCTTTTCAATAACAGATATTTTACTTTTTAACTTATTACGAAAATATATTGAGAGTCCTCCACTATATCGACCTTTCTTAGTTCCTATGCTTTTATTACCAAAAATATGAACACTGCTATATCCTTCGATATCTATATTGTATGTATGTGTTTTACTAATCCATGTTTCGCTTAACAAAATTAGGTCAAACGAATTTATGTATTTAATAAATTCATCATCAGTTATCTTTCTCAATAAGCCATTAACATTCCATGAGATACACTTTAGCTCCTCTCGACATCCCTAGTTTGTAATTTGCTTAAATTCCTCACTGTCTTTATATTGAACAAACAGTCTATCACCGATCCACTTGATCTTATTTCTGGCTGCTTTTTCTCTCCGCATAATATGATTTAACGCTTGCCTTTTTTCTAGAGTTGATTAAGTGAGTTGTACTCCTACACCAGTTTTCAAAGATTTTAAATGCTCTTTTCGTTCAAAAGATGTTTTTCGGATCAATTCCCTATCCTTTAGCCGATTAAATTTTACCAAATAGGCCTGGGTCCCCCTTTCCTTCTTTTGAACCAATTCTATTTACGAAATCAATTTGTATATCATCCGTTATATTCAGATTGTCTTTAATGAACCTTTTAATCGTTAGCTCACAGTCCTCGTCAACTTCTTCTTTTAATCCATAAAACATAAGATTTTCTCTTAATCCATGAAATTCCACATCATTAACTTTTGATTCGAGTTGTTGGTTTTTTGCTTCAAGATTGTTCACCATTTCCTGGAAATTTTTACATTTTTCACCTAGCCTTTTAATTTCTTGCTTTGCCGACTCTAACTTCTTCTTACTTTCCTCAGTTTCCTGATTTATGAATGTACATGATGCTTCAGTTTGTTCAACTCGTATGTCAATGTCTTTGACTTTAGTTTCTAATGTATCAACTTTCAAACATACCCTATTTACGGCTTTTTCAATACTATCAATTTTAGACATTGACTTTTTAATTTGTTTCATATCGTTTATCAAATCAGCAGCCCAAGGTGGCGGGCTGATACTCTGTACACCGGCAGCATTGAAAGGCATGTATGACTGTGGTGACATGAATGTCATGTTTAAAGGGTTCGGAATGGGAGGGGTATATGCCATACTGGATGGTATATTGTTATCCATTTCATAAGTCTTTGCGCCAAATTTGAAATAGTCCGGCGAAGAAGTATTAAGTCGTTTGTTTTGTTTACTCACACTTTGTGTACTGTCCGTTTCCTGACCACTGGTCAAACCGGTTTCCCCCGTTATGTGTGTAAAGTCTGTGTTATCTAAGTTTATCGGTGAAATAACTTTCCTTTTTCCTCGCTTTTTCTTCGACTCTGAGTTCGCTTTATCACTATTTATCTTCGGAGGCATCAAGTATTAATCCTATATGTCACTCAAATAATATTCCTGTCACTTATTTCTAAATTTAACTATGCTTTAAATCAAGTTTTATTCCAAAATTTTACTGCTCGAAATTTCGTGTCTACACCCCATGTCACGTGATCTTAATGCATGAATTGTGTCATTGATTCAACCTTTTTCAGTGAATTATACCGGTCCTATGAAATGCGTAATTAACCGGAAAAAGGAACAAAGAAACGTGACAATACATTGTATCAACAATTATAATCAAAGCGGTCATCAAATTTGTATTTCATTGTTTGATTCTTTATTTAAAATGTTTTTTATTCAACGCGAAACGAAAGGTACCAATTTATATTGAAAAAAGATACAAATGTACTATTTTGTTGTTGTTGTTGATTAAAGGGTAATAAAACTTAATTGATGGAATGTTTTCACAAGATTTTGGGGTGTGAACATACATATGGGGCCAATCAGATATATGTCATTGATTCATTTTGCATTCCAATCAATTTATTAGCCGAATTCATTGGTAATTGAAAATAAGAACTGCATAAGCCTAACCCCGCCCAACGTTACAGCTAAATGATTATGGTACGGTCTCAAAAATTTAAAGTAATCATGAATGAATGAATGAATGAATGAATGAATGAATGAATGAATGAATGAATGAATGAATGAATGAATTTCCTACTGTATCTGCACGTCGAGTTAAATATTTGTTTCCTACAACATTCTCAAAGGGTTATTCATGTGCACATTTTAAAACTAAAATGAAATAGATTGAAAATGTTTTGACAATTTTAAAAGCTAAAATTCGACATGACGAAAAGGTAAAATATACTTACCAATTACAGGTAAGGTGATACACACACTTTAGATAACAACATGCATTATTATTAAAAAAAAAATATCCACGTTTATTGTTTTTTGGCTTTAAAATTCGAAATTCGAATCAATTGTAAATCCATGTATGTGTTTATTATTAGATTAATATTAATTGATTATATTAAAATTGGTATTGGATTGAGTTCACAAGTCAGAACAATAAAATAAAGAAACTACTTATCTAGAAATACGAAATAAGACCGTTTTACATTGTATAGTTTGTTTATTCGTTGTCAAAAAATTGAACTTACATCTTTACTATTTGAACTGTCATTAATAAATGAATTTCAGAACGAACCAACGATGGAAGTTTCTGGTAAATCAAAACCAAAAAAGACATTTTCTCTTTCACGAGGTTCTGCTGAGGACTTTATATTGTTCTGTATCCCGTGTGATAGAGATGGTGCCCGGGTACCAGCAAAAGGTTATTGTTCAACCTGCAAAGAACATCTTTGTGACACTTGTTACAAGCACCACAAGAAACAAACTCCATCGTGTCATCATATTCTACTAGATCGAGACTCTATGCCAACTACACCAAGCGTTCCAGTCGTCCAAGATGAATTTGATAGTTGTGATGATCATGGAGATGAAAAACTGAAATTCTACTGCAAAGATCATGACATCGTTGCTTGCAGTGTTTGTGTAACGCAGAATCACAGGTTATGTAATGTGGTATACATACCGAAACTCTCGAAGCATATTCTAGACAGTGAAGAACTTAATGAAATAATGGCAGAAATGAAAGCACTGGAGGATAATTTTAAATCACAGATAAAGAGAGTAAAAGATGAGATGAAAGCTATTTCTCAAAACCACGATGGCATAATAAAGGCGATTCATCAATTCAGAAAAGAAATAAATACACGTCTAGACGAAATGGAAAAACATGTTGTCAAAGAAGCTGACAACATACTTATTAAACAGCAAGCGAATCTAAATGATTTGTCGACAGGTGTAAAAGAAATCACAAGCAAACTAACTGAAAAACGAAAACGCATTGATAACCTGATACAAAGAAAATGCCTTGATAAACTGTTTGTTGAAATGAAAAAAAAACAACAAAGAAACGAGTTAAAGAAATGATTATGAAGCAAAAACAATATAGTCGTGAAGATGTTATCAAGACTGTATCATTTGTCAAAAACAGTGATATTGTCGATATGTTAGATAGACACAAGCAACTGGGAGAACTTATTACAATGAAAACATCCATGGGTAGATATGTTCCAGTGATGAAACCTACGTCAACATTGTCTGAGGATAAGATGCTACATCTTGAGGTTGTTGAAGATATAGATTTGAATTCTTCATCGGGATACACATAATGTAACATAACCGGGATAGAAGTTATCAAGCTCGATAAGATTGTTATGTGTGATCACAGCGACAATAAAAATGTAAAATTTTATGATACAGTTCAGAAGAAAGTCGTATCAGAGATAAAATTAACAGAGTCACCTTTTGATGTTTCAGCTTTAACGGATGATAGGTTTGTCGTTACTGTACCTGATGGCACAAGTATTCATTTCATGTTGCTGAGAAATCAACACATAGTTTCTGAACGTAAGGTAAATATCAACGAGGACTGTTATGGTATTGCTTACAGCCAAGATAAACTTGTTGTGTCATGTGTTAATCCAGGGAAAGTTTTAATTCTGGACCTGCAAGGTAAAATATTGCAACGGTTAAACGCAGATAAAAGTCTGTTCAGCTTTCCCGAATATGTCACGGTTAATACAGCTGGAACGTCTATATATGTTAGTGACTATGGTTATTCTCTTGAGAATGGTGTAAAACAACTAGACTGGCAGGGAAATCTTTTAGATACATATCAACAAGCAGAGGTAGGAAAATATCTACGAGGTATTTGTGAATTAAATGATGGCACATTTCTTGTTTGTTTGGCTCAAGATAGTGACGACAATTTGCGAAGAGTATCAGACAGCTGTAAGCCGTGTAAGATAACGATGAATAAGAAGCTTGGTAAATGGTACCCGGAAGCTGTGGCATACTGTCAGAAATCTAGAAAACTTTATGTGTCTTATTCTGAAAAAGGGTTCTATAAACCAAAACATCGGATAAAAATCTTTAAGGTTGACTGGTGTTAAGTTACATCATGATGAAAAGTATACATTTAGTTTGAACTTTTACACGTTTCAATGTAACAGTTGAAAGTTTGATAGAGTTATTGTTCAAAATGATATTTATATGATATTTATGTGATTATGTCTATTGAAATCAAAATGGTGGGCTCGAAAATATTCTGTCAATATTTTTAGTTAATTATGTATAACTAAGAATAATAGGTAAATGTTTTTTTACTGAAATGTAGGTTTTAAGATAAATATTTTAACCGGACTAAGACTGTGATCTCACATTGTTATCAATTTTTCAAAAAACTCGATATATTTTAAAAAGGGGAAATACACTCGTTCCCCTTTTTAAGGCACTATTTTTACATTATTTTCAGCTAAAGTAATGGTATTGTTTTGTGAAAAGTAAAAGACAAACAGCTAAAGTAAACATCCAAATTTTATTTTTTGTTTCTTTTGCACATGCTTTCGGGGGAACCGTTCCCCCGAAAAACAAAAGCTATGTACAGAATACAACATGTCTGTATAAATAAAAAGCAATTTTTCAGTAATCAGAAATACATTATGCTTACGGGGGAACCATTCCCTCATCGAAATAAAAAGTAAATTTCAAAACTTATCTTTAACAGATTTTCTAGAGTGGAACCGTTCCCCCTTAAAAAATACAGATATAACAAATTGATCAAATAAAATGCAATAATTAAGAAATAAGAGCCATGTTACCGGTAAGAGGGAACCATTCCCCCATTAAAATAAAAAATAAACTTCAAATCTTATCTATAACACGTTTTCTAGAGTGGAACCGTTCCCCCTTAACAAAACCATGTTACTGGTAGGAGGGAACCGTTCCCTCATCGAAATAAAAAATAAATTTCAAAACTTATCGAAGACACACATTTTCTAAGTGGAACCGTTCCCCCTTAACAAAACAGATATAAAAATTTGATAGAATAAAATGCAATAATTTAGAAATTTAGACCCATGTTACCGGTAAGAGGGAACCGTTCCCTCATTGAATTAAAAAACAAATTTCAAAAGTTATCTATAACACATTTTCTTAAGTGGAACCGTTCCCCCTTAACAAAGATATAACAATTTGATAGAATAAAATGCAATATTTTAGAAATTTAGAGCCATGTTACCGGTAAGAGGGAACCGTTCCCTCATCGATATAAAAAATAAATTTCAAAAGTTATCTATAACACATTTTCTAGAGTGGAACCGTTCCCCCTTAACAAAACAGATATAACAATTTGATAGAATAAAATGCAATAATTTAGAAATTTAGAGCCATGCTACCGGTAAGAGGGAACCGTTCCCTCATCGAATTAAAAAACAAATTTCAAAAGTTATCTATAACACATTTACTACAATGGAACCGTTCCCCCTTAACAAAGATATAGCAATTTGATCAAATAAAATGCAATAATTTAGAAATTTAGAGCCATGTTACCGGTAAGAGGGAACCGTTCCCTCATCGAATTAAAAATAAATTTCAAAAGTTATCTATAACACATTTTCTAGAGTGGAACCGTTCCCCCTTAACAAAACAGATATAACAATTTGATAGAATAAAATGCAATAATTTAGAAGTTTAGATCCATGTTTCTGGTAAGAGGGAACCGTTCCCTCATCGAAATAAAAAATAAATTTCAAAAGTTATCTATAACACATTTTCTAGAGTGGAACAGTTCCCCCTTAACAAAAAGATATAACAATTTGATAGAATAAAATGCAATAATTTAGAAATTTAGACCCATGTTACCGGTAAGAGGGAACCGTTCCCTCATCGAATTAAAAAACAAATTTCAAAAGTTATCTATAACACATTTTCTACAATGGAACCGTTCCCCCTTAACAAAGATTTAGCAATTTGATCAAATAAAATGCAATAATTTAGAAATTTAGAGCCATGTTACCGGTAAGAGGGAACCGTTCCCTCATCGAAATAAAAATAAATTTCAAAAGTTATCTATAACACATTTTCTAGAGTGGAACCGTTCCCCCTTAACAAAACAGATATAGCAATTTGATAGAATAAAATGCAATAATTTAGAAATTTAGAGCCATGTTACCGGTAAGCCGTTCCCTCATCGAATTAAAAAAGAAATTTCAAAAGTTATCTATAACACATTTTCTAGAGTGTAACCGTTCCCCCTTAACAAAGATATAGCAATTTGATCAAATAAAATGCAATAATTTAGAAATTTAGACCCATGTTACTAGTAAGAGGGAACCATTCCCTCATCGAAATAAAAATAAATTTCAAAAGTTATCTATAACACATTTTCTAGAGTGGAACCGTTCCCCCTTAACAAAACAGATATAGCAATTTGATAGAATAAAATGCAATAATTAACAAAAATTTAGAGCCATGTAAGAGGGAACCGTTCCCTCATCGAAATAAAAATAAATTACAAAACTAACCTATAACACATTTTTTTTAAAGTGGAACCGTTCACCACAAAAAAACAACATACAGATAAACCAGTTTGATGAAGCTAAGAATTTAGACTGATGTTACAGGTAAGAAGGAACCGTTCCCTCATAAACAAAAACAAGTAAATTATAAATCTAATCTATTACACATTTTCTAAAGTGGAACTGTTCCCCTTTAAAAAAAAAACAAAAAAAAAACAGATTAAACAATTTCATATAGTAAAATGTAATACTTTAGAAGTTAGAGCCAATTATTACGGGTAAAAGGAACCGTTCCCTCATCAAAATAGAAAAATATCTGTAATACATTTTATTAAGTGGAACCGTTCCCCCTTAACAAAACAGATAAAACAATTTGATAGAATTGTTGTGACGGATGCACACATGTTATAATTATATTTTGAGCTAAGATAATTAATTGAATTTTTGGGTCTACAATCATTCTATGTACAACAAACAGTGATAATAGGTTGTTTTATAAATATAATATTTAATAATTCATTAATTTCAATGAACTCTTAAAGAAATGGCGAAAATCGAAAACCTTTAAGAGTGCTTGTTGGAAAAAATAAATATTAGTGCAATTTAAAGTTCTGACCTAAAACTTAACTTGATATCACGTGCTACAGAGCCTTAACTGCAAAGCAAAAATGTGCGAATGATTCTCATTAATGAATATATATCTGATGTCAAATTTAGGTTTAAATATAATTGTATGCTTTTTCCAACTAAAAAAAAAGCATCGATCTGTCACATTTTATTAATACCATCATTATAGGTGCCGCTATTAATACAGTATATTTTCCTTACAAACAAATATCTACCAGCTTACTATCCTATCTAACTATAACAAAAAGTGACATTAGATGGGGTCTTTTTTGTATATATATTGATACAACAACTAATTGATTGATTCCACAGAACTCTTAAAGAAATGGCAAAAAAAACGAAAACCTTTAAGAGTGCTTGTTGGAAAAAATAAATATTAGTGCAATTAAAAGTTCTGACCTATAACCTTACTTGATATCAAGCGCTAAAGAGCTTTAACTGCAAAGCAAAAAATTCCCTCCACATAAAAACAGATCAAATATTCAAAATATGATCATATATTTGAGCTTCCATCAAGACTAAAATATACAAGAGATTTATATTTGAGACAACAATTGAAAAACAACAAACAAATTATAATACATGTATATACACATATACAAAAAAGTTTTCACTCCATTCACAATGTAGCAAAATGTTATTTTACAAGACTGGTGCCTTGACCCAGGAGGATGACACTCTAGCAACTCCATCATGGTACTTTACTGCATAGTCTCCTGTAAATTAAAATCTGCATGTTTATATTTTATAGAAGATATCTGGTTTTTTTTGTGTTAATACAATATAGGTCAGGGGCCACAAAAAAGTGGACAACCACCAATTCTGGAGAGCCCCAAATAATGCCTTTTTAAAGTTTCTTTCTTTGTTCATAATATTAGTTGTTGATCAATCAGTCGCTTTTTTATCATCAATAAATGCATATTTCTTCTTTAACTATTTTCAATTTTCGTAAGTTTACGATAACATTTTTATGTCTATTTCAAGAATGTTGACACTGAATATTTAGACATCAAGAGTGCAATACCTGACCTCTTATACTAACTATAATCATTTGTAGAGTGAAAAATAGAATATCCCAAACCTCAGCATTTGACTTTGACCTTGATGGTCAAGGTCATTAGAAACTAAAGGTCAAGGTCACTTCAACCTTTTGGAAGGACTTTTGGCCCATGTATGAAAATATTCCATTAATTAATTTCCAAGTTACAGCCAATTATAATAATAATCAGTGAAAATTTAATAATTTGACCTTCAAGATCAAGGTCATACATGAGTCAAGGTCAATTTGAGTTTGATATACACGAAGGCTCTGACATTACAGATGTTGTGTCTTAATATGAAGTTAATCCATTTATAAATAACAAAGTTATAGCCAGCAAAAACAAGAGAATTTCATAAATTTAATATTGAGAGTGAGTCAGGGTCAACTTAATGGTCAAGGCCACATCTAAATTGTTCAATATGTTTGTTTGGTAGCAAGTCTTGTTTTGTCTCAGTTTAAATCAAATCTTAACATTAATAACAAAATACTTCAACTCGACATCTTAAGTTTAAAGTCAGTCCTGCCGTGAGTCATTTTATAACATGCTTCCATGTATGGAATGATTTTTGCTACATTATATATAAGATATAGTAATATAAAATATGGTCAAAACATTTATCACAAACACTCAAAAAATAACTAAGCCTTACCATTTGCATAGCTTTTTGTTATTTTCCCGCGAAGCCACTTTTCTGTCCCATCCTCATATTGCCAAAATGCATCCACCTCTTCTCCTTGTGTAAACTTATCTGTCTGAAATAACACAACAGTAATTATTTTTATGATTATTTATATAAAAAAAGCATGCACGTATTGAAAAAAATGTGCCTTTTTGTCATCAGTATTTTATGAGGAACAAGGAAATAAGTTGAATTAATATTCCCTGCCATAAGATGCAAAACACTTCAATGAAACGTAATAGTAATCTGAAGTATATCAAAGATGCGAAAATGAATCTATAATCCTGACTTGTAATTATAAAACCCAATACTATCGAAAAGTGTCAAGCAAAACACGGTAGTTCTTAAAGTAAATAATACCCTTTGGAGATATTATGAATTAATGACATTAAACTATCATAATGTAATTGTGTAATGTGTGCATGTTGTTGTAGGAATAACATGGGATAAAAAGAAACTGGAACTGACAGTTGTATTATTCAAAGGTAATAAATAAGTCTTGATCACTTTGATTCATGGACAACCTTGAGTTTACATTTTGATAGGCTGATTTGGTCTTCAAAACATTTCACAGTTTAAACCATGCAGGAATTGTTACAGGAATTTGAGACAAATACTAATCTAACAGAAATTGTAAATCTATAATCTTGTCAGTTTCACAAAGGTAATTTCAATGGCATTCAACATGCATGTTTGCTCTTTGAAAATTGCTGTTACAAGGGAAATAAAACATCAGTTTTTGCATAGCTGAAGGGACTCCACTGAGGTTTTTTGACACTATGGGACTGAAAATATTTTTTCAAGATAAATGTACCATTTGATGTAGGCTTAGACCACTAATCTTCGTGCAAAATTTCAGATCAATCGCACACTTCATTTTTCCAGGATAATTATTCAAACTGTCAAAAAAATGACTCAAAATGTAAAGCGTTTTTAACGCTTTTTGCTCAAATTGGGCTAAGAAAAACATAAAAATACCATTTTCAATTTATTTCAAAGTATATTTCTTTAATATCTTTGCACATATTTCTGTTTAAAGTGCCCCAGCTTTTTTATGTAAGAAATTCAAAAAATGTTATATTTAGGCTTTAAACCTCAGTGGAGTCCCTTTAAATAATTGTAGTAAAAAAGTTTTATCTTTAAAACAAGATTCTTTATTGAATATAAAACATCGCTGCCCATTACCCTGTCTTTTTTGTCTCTTACATTCAGGGCTCTCCCAACTAGTCCTGTTTCTCTTGGGCCTGAAAAAAACATAAGTTTAAGTCTTTTCAAAATATATTTACTTACACTTTTCTTCCTAAATATGAAGTTAAATTGCCATAAAATAAAATGTTAACAACTTTGCATACCTTCAGAGAATGAAAGTGAAGAAGTTACAGTAAAAAATAACATTTTAAAGGAAAACTTTCTAGGTTCAAGGGGGGACTTTTGGAAATATTACTTCTACAGTTATTAGCACCCCTTGTCATCAAGGGATATATGGGATCAAAATGATAATTTTTTCTTAAATTTAAAATCTGGGTAAGTAAGACAACCCCTTGAAAAATTTTTTATTACCCTTTTAGTAAGGGAAACTAAAACTTTTTATAATTTTCCCCTTTTTCCCAAAATCTATCTAAATAAACCTTTTTCCCTTCTTCAGATGTCCAGGGCTTTTTCTAAGTATTGTACCTTTCCTAAAAAAATGTTAAAATTTAAATTTCATAAATTGAAACTTATAAAAAACATTTAGTTTTAAAAAAATGAAGGAAGATTACATTAATTATTTAATCAATCCTTATGTGTATTAACAAGACAGAAAAGTTAAAATATTTGTCTCGTTATAGTAAAATCTGTTGAGAGACTCTTACAGATGTAAATAAATTTAACCAGAAGGTAACAGCAAAAACCAATCCTTAACACAATAAATATGTCAACTATTACATTTAGTATGTTTCTATTTTTAATTTAGAAATTGAAAGAAGGAATTTACCAAGATATATCATTATTGTATTCAAAATACATGAAATGGTTATGTTTTGGATAGTGCCCTTCAATTATGAAAACAGACACATGTGTAAGACTTCTGTAGTAATAGTTGTGTAGAATTGATCTTGCATGTAAAACATTAGTGGCATTTTATGAAGCGCTCTTAAATCAATGCTAGAGTTATAGGACTTTAAATGTGCTGTCCAACTATGATACCAAAGACATGTTTTATGTGTCACTTTCAGGAAATTAATTTTACAGATGGAATTTCTCAAATGGCTATACATAAGTCTGAATCTGTCAGAGTTATAGACTGACAATGATCTTGAATGTATAGATACAAGCAAATATAGTTATATATGTAGTGATTGATGAAATGAAAAAAAAGCCAAAATTTTACCAAATGTCTGAGTAAGTAGGACAGTCCAACTAATCTTTAATTAGTCAAGCTAAAAATGACTCAACTATCTTAATTGGCAATGTATTTCTAATTCAAATAAAACAAATGCATCTTACCTGCAGTGCAGTCTTCTCTCTTCTTAGCATTTCATTGGTGGCTTTCATAGCAAGAAGTTCCTCCTACAACAAAATTTATTTATAGGAAAATGATTATTATTTTGAACTTTTTATCATGCTAATACCTGATTATATATATATTCAAGTTTGGAAATAAGACCGTGACAACTCAAATGACATTACTTGTAGGTTGTTTTAATTTGCAATAAAAAGTATCCAGACCTTAAATATTTTTTAAAAACATTTTTTTTTGCTTCTGTTTTCTTTTTATTGTATCATGTAAAGCATTCTTTCAAACAAAATACTCCACAATATCATCCTATACTTAATTCTCATAGTATTAAACAATTACATGTATTCTGACCAAGTACAAGTTTCTACTTTGATTGGCTTTAGCCCAGTCATTGTTTTCTGATTAACCTTGACTGTTACCGTAAGAATAAATTAATAGACCTAGCTTTAGTCCTATGAGTAACATTTATAAGCATCTAAATATAATACATGTACAATACAGAACAGATTTTCTGAAAAACCTGATCAACACAAGTGGATTCAAATGCCAATCAAGTTGTGTTCCATGATCATTAGATCTTAATGACACAAAGTCGTTCATTTTCAAGGTTAATCTTTTGAGACATCAAACAGAAATTGCGCACCTTAAGCTTGCTGTTCTCGTGTGTAAGCCTCTCATTCTCTGGTTTCATCAGAGCCATCTCTCTCTGAAATACAATGTATGTGTAACCACCTTGCTCATAAAAAATTGAAAAATGTGTCAAATGTTTGTGCAAACAAGATTACTATAATGGACAGATCCCCCTGGTTCTTTTACCTACATAGTTGTGGGCAGCACACTAGGCTTGGTTACAAATTATACTAAGTTAACTACTGACAGTCCCAACTGAACAAAAGGTTTCTCACGATAATATATTCTTCATGATTTATGACTTTTAGTGATTTAAAAGGCATGTTTCCATGGTTTTCCGCTTTGTCAGATTATAATCATACTCCATAATTTAAGAATGCCAAGTTTCATAGCAATACACTTTTCAAATTGTTTAAAAGTTACTGACTATGAATTAACATCTTTGCAGACACAAGCATAAATACACAGTTTCAATGTTAAAAAAGGAGATAATTTAAACATAATGATTCACAAAAAAGAGTTACCTGCTTTAAGCTATAGATGCAGATCAACACACTAGAAAACCATTCACTAATTCAAAGCTATAGCCTCTTTATGGTACGATTTGATTCAGAAAATTCAGAATTTATAATCACCATAGCAGAAAATATTTTAACATTTGAAGAGGTTCAAATTAACTTAGTTCCAGATTCAGAACTCACCGTGTTGCCAGTGATTGACTTAAAAAAAAAATTTTGCAATGCCCAAGCTTCTTAACCGCCACTTACTAATGCTGTATGTGAATGGTCACAAGACCCGGACAGTAAATTCGTGCCCCTTTTTATCACAATTTTATTTAATAGACATATTTCTAGTTATGTTTTGTTTTAGTTACATAGTAATAAGCGCAAAGTGGACCTCATCTGATGATGGAAAATTTTTGAAGGCCATATTAAATTTATCAGTCAATTTAATGTTCATTTGAATCTCTGCCGGCGGCGACCCGATATAACGTTGTGTTATATTGGTATTCCTTACAGTGCAAACTTAGTTAATTTTTAAACATACCTTTCAGCAATTCATTAAAGGGCAATTAAATTTAAAAATGAGCTATTATAGGAGTCTATGTACCTTCAAAAGAGGTATTTCACTGTCACTATCTTCTCTGTTGTCATCTTCATTACTGCTATCATCGACAAAATGAATCTCCTATGTAAGATATAATAATTATAAATTATCAAAATAAGAAAATGAATGTATTAAGTTAGGACAGTCAAAGAAGAGCAGTCAAAGAGACAATTCACTAAAACAATAGCATGAAAGTGAAAAATAATCTGATATTTATTAAACATTATAAAAGATAATGCACATTTTAAGTTTAAATTAATAACCACATGATAGAAGAAGTACTTTTAATCCGTATGATGTCTGAGGTTCCATTGATTAATATGTTACTACATTGTAAATGTTACATCATTAATTTCTTTTCTTCAAAATAAAGTCTTTTACATCTTACAATTCACAAAGACATTTAAGAAAATATGTAAAAAAATCACATCTTCTCAACTCAATATATATATATCATACATGTATATTAAATGTACCTAAGTTAACTCAGGAATAAATTCCTGATTCTTCCATTACAACTATGAAATTTTACCTAAAGTTAGATAACATTATCTGACACTGTCAAAATGCAGTCAGTACCGTGTTTTATAATCCTTAACACTTGCTGCATCGCATGCAGGATATGTATATTTAATACCTAAATATAATATTCATACTAGCTACCAATTGTGCATACACTATATAAAATTACCTAGCATTAAATGCTTTTGCAATTCTCATCAATATAATCATATGATCATATACTCTAGAGACACTCTTCACAGCCCATGACTGGCACTATTTGACATATCAGATTATCTCAGTTTTAATGAAAAATTGCCATAATTGTTTTGTGATTATAAAACATTAAAATTTCATCTCTCTCCGCCACTCCTATCTGCACATATACATAGCATAATGTATGTACCTTTTGACTGTCAGGTTCATTAATGTAGCCATCTTCTTGATCAGGCTTGTCATAAGTGCCATCTTCTGGGAGCAAAACATCATTGCCATCATTGTTCTTCCTGAAATTATACAATAAAAACTCACATACATGATTATTTTAGATATAAACATGAATTATATATATAATATATTTAATATATAATATATATATATATATATTATACCGTAAATGAAAAAAGGTTACAAGCCTCTGTGTTAATACTTGCAATTAACCCGACAAATTTATTAAATGATTAAATGATTTCCTTTTTTTATAATGAATTAAAGATGCTCACGTGTAACATACACATGTTTAACAGCTCTTTTTTTATAAGCAGTTACCTCTTGAGAACAGTGAAGTATACCATATTATTATGTCACAATACCATTATTTGTTTATTATTCATCCTAATGAAGGTGTAAGCTGAAATGTTGGTGTGTTAAAAATGATTTAATTATATTCATGGGTTGTTCATTTTCCCCAATTTTTCTCCTATAGCCGGTATATTTTAAATTCAAACCTATATTTATAAGGGTCAAATTTTTATGTGTGGAAATTTTACATATTCCATAAAGAATAATTCAAGAATATTCTGCCAAAAATAAGTCAAAGTTTATTGATCACAGTTACTTGAGTGACAGGTGTTAATTTAACAGCTATGTGTAGTTTTACAGCCTTTTAGGCTTTTCTATGTTTATTTGTCATTATTCTTATTTCTGTGGTTGTATTTGAAAGTTCGTTTGATATCTTCTCAGACCTTTGAGTGTCCATATTAATCATGTGATATTTTTACTATTAGCTGTTTTTCCTTTTGCAACTCACTACTAAACAAATGACAGCTCAAAATTTTGTCACTCAAAAAAGACCATTTCAGAAGTCTTAGTCTTAAACTTTGTCATACTGAAGTCCTAATGTATAATTTTAATTCTAACACTCCACATGATTATGTCACTATAGACAAAGAAGAAAAAAAAATGTTGTTGAACTGCCAATAAACACTGGTTAGGGACTACTTGTATATCCGGCTGTTATGTTTTCTCCTTGATTATATAGTTTACAAAGTCTTTTAAAGCAATAATAAAAAGCATTTTTTTAAAAATATTTTCAGTTCTTATAATGTTTCTTTTCATACAATATCAAAATAATATCTCACATACACAAACGCCACATATTTGATCCATATCAGTTAATAAATATTTTGGCAAAACGGCGCCAATCCATAAGCAGTATAATGATGTCATCCTAAATATACAACTCATTCATAAACGCTGACGTCATTTCATACATACAAGAATGATAAATGGGGCACTGATGTTAACACAATACAATCCATTCTAGGACGTAAGTTTTTATTGTTGAAAACTGATATAATAAAGTATTTTCTTATTATTTCATTTGTTTAATAATTTCTATATCTTAGCAACAGTAGGGTGTGTAAATTGACAGCGTTATACGAAAATCGGCACCAGAAGTTATTTCTGCTTGGAATAACATTAGTGATCTTCCTACTGCCTTTGTGGTCAATTCATACGCATCAAAACTCCAAAACCGGTGTTAAATAGCCGATAAATACCGCTAAGACCGATATTATTTCTTAATTAATTTACATGCTGGGGTCAGAACCCAATATAGATCCTTGTTTGGCAAGTTTTGGATGAAGTAGTGTGTATTGAACAAATGCATTTACTAAGTCCCAACTTAAGAATACAGTTAAGGTACTAAAAAAACTTACAGAGTTTTAAGGTACGCTTTGTATCCTTCATTCATTAGCGTTCTTAAGCTGTTTATCATTGTCTCTTCCGATAAATGAACAAGCTTTTTGAAAAATGTTTGCTCAATCATCTTTTTTCTTGGCTGTTCCACAATAGCCTGTCTGTCCCAGGCATCACCAACTGCCTGTACAAGACCCCAAACCTCTGTGTTTGTCTTTGCTAAGGCTAAGTGATTCTTCAGATTGTACCTAGCCTTTGTAGGTGTCTGAAAGGTAAAGGTTAATTTGCTAAGAAAGAAATTACTAGTAGTGACAATAATGCTACAATGCTAACCATTATATATACAAGATGCACAAGTTAAAAAAATCAAACACAAAGCTAAATAAATTTACATTTCTTCTTCAACACATTTTTAGTACTGGTATAATTGTTTTAAATCTTGTCTACTAAACAATTTTAAGTAAATAATACATGAAACATTTTTCTAAAAGGTCAGAATCACACCAAGTCAGGGGAATAAGAGCATTAGTATGACAATATTGGCTATAACTCCCTTTGAGTTACCCAACCATAACTAGTGGCAGTGATGATAGTGTGTAACCAATTGTTTGCAATGGTAGCCAAACAGAGATATATTATATATTTGTAGAATTTGAGAAAATATATTAAAGTCTATGAAAGAAATGTTCAAATGTTTGATTATTACTTACTTATTTTTCTTGTTTGTTTGTGGATTGAAATGATAATTTACGGACTATTCATTAAAGATTTTAAAACATGTTCAGTACTATGGGCGTTTAATTAACATTAAAAAAAAAATATATTCAAATTTCCTTTTGTTGTAAATTTAACAATGCATTTGGTAAAGACTTATTATTGCTAGAGTGGTCAGTTTGACAGTTACCACACAAACTGCCAATTTACAAAAAATCTTATGCATCTTGTTTTTTTTTATCTAAAAATAACTTAATTATCAGGTTGAATGATTTGACCTTTACAAACCATCTTTTCATTAGTCTAAATTTATTTATGCATCATATTGACATAACAATTTTTCATTGGTCGTTTATATCATTGGCGGTAAAATATTTTCTTTCTTTTCTCCTTGACAATATTTGTCTTTCTGTATTAGTTGACCATTTGGATCACACATGTTGGTTAAAATTGAAATTTCCCACCCATTCAACATTTAGATACTTTCTTGTATGAATGAATACAAGTAATTCGATGTTGGTTCATTCATTGATGTTTTTCAGTGTTTAAACTGCAACATGTGTTTATGTACTGTAAGTTGATTAACATTTATGTTGATATGATATATATTATGTTGATGATGTCTTTGCCCGAGACTCATTGAATCTCAGGAAAGCCTAAATCTAGCAAGCTGGTAATGGCCAGTCTTGAAGATTATACTCCTAAGGAGATATTATGACAATCACTTCGTAGGTCTTTCTGTGGAATATTATATTTGAATGATTATAATTGTATATGCAGGTTGACTAACAAAGCATTTTGATTATAAATGATGGCTTCTGAGTCACATACTGATAATTTAATTATATGTGCTTTGTGAATTTGATGTGATTCAAGTCATCCATGGTACACGTATACCTATATTTCTTTTTGAAGTCACCATGGAATTTTACCTTACATATATAAAAACTATAGAAAATTCAATGAAAGAATTTTTCAATATCTCCATTTATTTACAAACCTCATGATTATTTTTCTCATTATTTGTTAAGAAATATGAAAAACTCATTTTGTAAATAAATATATGTTCAGACTATAGTTTGTTTCATACAGTATTGTGTGTATGTTAAGCTGTCTTGTTCACTTTCATATTTCTTAATAAGAAAGTGTGTCTATTTAGACAGAATTGTGATATACAGTTACCATGGAGACTGTCATTTCACAAAAAAATCCAACTTATCAACTTATATTTTTATTTTTTAATTCACCATTAAATTATAATTGTATTACAAAAAAATAGGAAATTCTATAAATGGATTAAAGCAGCAGGCCTCCAGAAAATAACAGAAAAACAAATGTTGTACATATATTTCAAAATCCCTCCTTACAAACCTTATATTTGAAAGAAATAAATATGACACTTCAAAATGTTCAGAATTTAAAATTTTTGCACTGAAAACAAACTGTTTGTTTTTACGCACTTAGGATACACCTTCTTTTATTATCCTACAGAATTCATCCATCCTGGTTGTTTTCTAGTACAGGACAGTATCGTGACCAGTAATCCAGAATGCAAGGAATTCGGGATTGTTTCAAACAAGGAGGGAAACAAATAAACTGCTTTGGTTTTGATACTTGTAGTATTTTGTAAAACTTATAATTATTATAAATAAATTTTATAATATATATGATGACCAATATATTGATTTAAACTTTAGCTTGAAAAATGGTTATAGCCAACTCATTGACGAATATTGATATACGATCCTGGGCATACGGGATACAGGGATTTTTCCAAACCACTGTTATGACAAGTGACAATGTTAAATGAATTATCTTCTCCTATTTATTTTGGCTATTGCCACAGTTAGGTATTCTATCATACAAAAAAAAACACTATATATTGATTTAAATGCTGTTAAACCTTTTTTTTTAATTTATACAATTTTTTTTTAGTTCAATTGTGAAAGAAGCTTTAAGCTTATAGACAAACTCTAGAAAACACCATTTTGACACAATGTGATGATCAATTAATTGTCTTGAACCAAAATAGGACTGCTAAGATAATGATTGCAGTAAACTGTTATTTACCTCATAATCAAACACTTTCATCAGACTTGAATAAAAGTTATTCTTCTCCTTTTTCGTCATTTTGGAAAAGCCCTTTCCACCTAGTTCTCTTATTAGGTTTACTTTTTCTATAAATGACATCGGCTTTGCGAAGCCATGGACTGTGTTATGGTGGACACCTGAAACCAATTGATACATTTCATAACAGCTATACATCTATACACAATAATTGTTATGATATATATTGATCATAATAATCTGTCTTCCACTTCTGCACTAGTCATTTGTAGCAGGAATTCCCAAAAGCAGATTACTTGAAACAAGACCAGTTACCCTGATTTTTTTACACTTAAATGTTTATATTATATCATATTCTAAGTCATGCAAAGTTTAAATAATTCTATCCTAAGAAGATCACATGCTTAGGGGAGAAAAACTGTTTAAATTATAGCTCAGTGAACAGAGCAACAAATTGGTAAGATTTGCTTATGACTTTGCAACACTGTTGAGAACACAGACATAAAAACAAGCCCTCCTTAGTTGTTTTTGTATAGTTGAACTAAAATCAGGATATAATTTAAATCAAAACTTACCAAGAAATAAAGCTTCATCTTGTGACACACCTTGATAAAGTGTCATCTGTATTGTAATTTGGCCCCACAAACCATTCTCTTTCAGTGACTGAAGGGCCACTCTGGTGTGATTACCTCCAATTACATACACTTTTGCACCTAAAATAAAAGATGTAGATATACTTATTTCAATAATTCTGTAATTCATTAGGCTCAAATACTCTAAATGGATTTATTGTCTTAAAAATACTCCATTCCAATAATATTTGACAAATTTGTCATTTTCAAATTGAATTCATAGTAAACATCAGAATATTCCTGTGCCACTTTGGCATATCAGGCATTGGAGGGTTTAACTTGGAACAACTGAACTTTTCAGTCAAATTTGACCCATATAACAAAATAGGAAGCAAGACACAGAACAAATTCGTTTTTTTATATTTTAACTTACATCACAAGTTTTTAACATATAGACAAATCGTGAGTCAATACTGGAACTTTTTGACTAAATTTTAAATTACATTAAAAGTCAAATTAAGTAAATTTACAGATGATATAAAGGTGAAAAAAATATTTATATGCTACTTATGTTTTTAGAAACCGATAGTACAAAATGTAAAGTACCCCGGTCCTGTTTAGTTAACATTATTTCGGATTTGGTTATAATTGTAAGTTAGTGAGTATTTTTATTCATAATGTCAGACATATTTTTTACTGAGATACAAATCTGATTGGCTTAATATTTTGGCAAATGTAAAATAAATACATTTGAAACAAATGAATAAAAAAAATATTCAATCTCTCTTTTCGTTTTCATCAAAGGGGAGAAAACAAAACTGCAATGTGAAAGAACTATTTTTAATTTGTGTTAACTTGTACATGATTATGAATAATTAGCGAGGAGTTCCAAATACACTTAAAAATTGGACTATCTACATGACCAACCTAGCACAATGATTTTTCTCTGTACCGCTTTTCAGACTGTCATTTGTTTCCCAGACAAAGAATTTTGGATCATAGATTCTGCTGCTATGTCATCTGATATTCTTTTAGTGTTTGGTATACATTCAATAATGAACCAAAATGTAAAAAAAATATGTAGAATTTTAACAACACAATAAGATATGATGGATTTTATATTTAATTATTACCTTCTGATGTTGTCAGTTGTTCAGAGGTGTAACACTCCTCCACTTCTCCATACAAAACCACCAGTTGCTCAGGATTTTTAGAAAATGACTCTTTCAGATCCTGGATGTGTTTAAGGTCCAGGGCCCTCGTCTGGTGTGCGCGGCCTGGTGCAAAAAGGTTGTCCAAGTGAACAGGAACACATCGCCCTGAAATCATATTTTTATGCAATATCTGAGTAAAGTGAAGGTGTAAAGTTTCAACAACATGTACAAAAATTAAATGTGAAGGAAACTTATAGAGACCAAAGATTGTAACAATGTTCTCAATTTCTACTCAAAATGTCAACAACTTTCCAATTATCTGCAGTACAAGCCTTGCCAAAACATAAGTAAGATTACTTAAAGATATAAATTGAAAACATCATTTTCTTGGTGAAAATTATCATTAATTTTCATCTTGAGATTCAAGAGAGATTTATAGATTTGAGATTTACAGATCAATGTCATTAAATAAAATATTAAAATATTCAAAAATCAGTGTTGTGATAAGTTTTTTTTGTCCCAATATAAATCAAATCTGTCCTTTGTAATCTATATATCATAAATAATAACACTAATTTGACTGTCAATGCCATTTATAAGTCAAATTCATTGTATATTTTTAAATTTTTTGATTCAGTAAAAACATCAATTGTTCAAGTATGAATCAAATCTGTAAAGTAATAACATGTCAATTTATGCTAAATTTAACTAAAAAATAAGATGTCTGAAGCTAAATTTGAACTGGACCTAGTTTTTATGATGTCAACTTCATCTGTGTACCAATAAAAATTACAATTAATTGCCTTCCTAAAATAATACGATCATCAGGGAACCAATTATTTTGGTGACAAAAGAAAAAAGGTGATAACTAAGTTAAAAAAAATGTTGTATTCTTAAGCCAATTTGAATAAAAAAGACTATATTAGGTCAAACTACTATCAGAGTTATCAAACTTAAAAAAACATAGTTGCACTGTGATATTGTTTTGACATGTTTGATATTTCAAGTTAAAATTAATACCTTTACTAGTTCCTGTAATAGGACAGGACTTATATTGATAAAGTTATAGCCAGTTACAGCAAAAAAATAGCAACATTAAAAATCAAGATCATTTATGACTCAAGATCAATGTTTAGTCTTGTCAACTTGGAGGCCTATCCTCAATTATTGTTGTTTCTAAGTATGAGGACAAGTCATTCCAAAATAAATAAGCTATGGCCAAACTTTTGTATTATTTTTGGGGAATTTTCTTACTCAAAAAAGATACACAATTATGTCAAACTTAAACTGTCACGAGTTATGAAACTTGACATACACAGAGGTATTTTGTAATTTTGCATCAGTTTGTCATTGTTTGTCCAAGAATCAATAATTTCCAGATACCGATAACAAGTTTTTCAGCCAATCATAGCATAAATGAAAATATAACATACCCACAATTTTCTCATCCACTAATTGTCTCTGCAGTCCTGTAACACAAAATGAGTTACTACAATGTAATGTTTGCAAAAAAACCCACATTTATACGAGACCATAGTACAGTATTCTTTTGCCTGTCAGTGTCATATTTACATACACATACTTATTTATAAATCATAAAGACCTATGCTCAATAATTCATGTTGAATATCAATGTTCTTACACTGCCACTCAAATCAAGAGCTTTGACCTAGTATACAGTAATGACCTAAATTTAATTATGTTTCATCTGCTGGCTGTGGGCACTGTCCACCATTTTAGTTTCATAAGGCTAATTCTTTCTCAAGTTATTGTTACTGATCAGATAAGATTAACAGGAAGTACATAATGGTTATGTACATACATACAGACTCAGACCAATTTATCACAGAATGCTTTCAACCTTAAATTATCTTAAAGGTCATTAATGTTCTCCCTCATTAAATACATTAAAAATCTTTAAAATACAGTAGAGTCCCGCCTAATGACCATCCCATTTGCATCATACCAATCCAACCAATCTGATATTACAACCAATTTTTCAAAAGACAGATTTTTTTCTTCTAATTTCTTTCAAAACTTGAGAGGTCCATCCAACTAAAACTATCAATACAACCACTCAAATTCTTCTGACCAATTAACAAACCTGCTTGTATAAATTTAGAACCCTTTCAAGATGATTAAGACAATATCTGGATAAGCTGTAAAATGATGTGTGTCTATCTTTTTACTGCTGTTGGGAATTTATATATATTGACCTGTGTTTTTAATACATTAAGAACTAATTGATAGGTGTGAAATTCGTCTGATTATCTTTATGTTTGATGTTTCTTTAAAAAAATTTAATGGTAACAAAAGATTATTTGAGACAAGAAAATTGATTGCTTTAATATAGTTGTCAAGTATTTACAACATTTTTTATTTGGAATTAAGTCTATCTGTTTGTTTTTCTTGAAATTTCAAGGTTTTTTTAAAAACTTTTGCTTCCTATCCATTGAATAACTTTGTAAGAAGGTTTTTTAATTAATGCTATACTGATTTCATTATTACTTTGATATTTAGTATTAAATCGTAACAAAGAAACAAAAACAACTTTTTTTAAATCATCATAATTACTCTAGAAAAAGTTGAATACTCCAGATAATCCTACAGCTTAATTCAGAATAAATTACCAATCAATCATATGGTTACACCATGACCCAAAAGGTATCTATTGATGCCAACATCACTTAAAGAATCAATGTAAAATTAAGTCCACCCCACAATTACGAGACCATTATATATATAGATAAAATAATAATGTAAATAAATAACAAACTCCATATATTCGGTAGCGCTTTAAATGCATTCTTCGCATATCTTCAGCCGAAACTTTAATATTTTATATATATATTTGATCATCAATTTGGTAAACATTGCCAACACGTAAAGTTTTATATATAAGATTACATTAATATAAAAGCCTAACCTGAGGTAGGGTGCAGCTGTGAACTGTTTGGGGAAGATGCAACATCTGTTCCTGTAATAAACAATCAATAAAATATAGAACAGTAAACCAAGAGCAAAATATTTCTTGTTGCTTTCTCTTTCTTAGTGCACTGTTTGTGACAGTGAAAATGCATGACTGAAAACAGGCAAGGTCAAAATAACTAATGCAGGCATCTGAAATAATGTCACAATTTAAAATTTATTATTTCTGCTTTGTCTCTGAAAAATGGAAGTTTGTGTGTAGTTTTTTCTGGTTTTTACCTTCATTTTAACACATTTGTTTGATAATATCTCACCAATCAATCCAGCCAAACAGCTTTCCTGGATAACTAACCAGTAATACTCTTTTCATTGCAAGTGTTTAACTTCTAATCCCACCTGATATCTAAAGTAGCTGTGAGAGACAAATGACCATTATAATTGATGTCCATGATGAATTGTCATTGATAATGTATGCATTAGAAAAGTGAAGCTGATAAAATTGATTTAAAATAATAATAAATTTCGATAAAAGCACATCACAGTAATTATAAGGCCTAATTTTTGGCCTATCACAATGTTACAACAAATTTACTGCCATAACTCTTCAAAACTGTTTCCCTAGCCCCTCATAACCTCTCTGTTATTTATCAAAGACAAAAATTGATTATGAAAAGATAACAAGGAGCAATAAAACTGACATAATACAAAACACTATTATCTATAGCTATCATCAATAGATACAATATTGATGTATCGTTGATATTTTTCTGTGGATCAATAATCAATATACAATTTTCAGAAAATAAGGTAATTTTGACTACATAATTAAATTTCTAGAAATTATGAAAATTCACCCAAAACATATACATAATGAGTAATCTATGTCTAACATTATGCTGTTGTTATAATATAGTGGAAATATTTCACAGCAATGAGGACAAAAAATAGTCTGCAAAAAATCATGCACTGGGCTTTTATAAAGACACTGAACAGAACATGTTTTTAACTGAAATAATTTAAACAGGTATGAAAGTAAATGAAAGACCGGTTATTACAAGTAATTATCAATATATGAGCCGCGTCACGAAAAAACCAACATAGTGTGTTTGCGACCAGCATGGATCCAGACCAGCCTGAGCATCCGCGCAGTCTGATCAGGATCCATGCTGTTCGCTTACCAACCCTATTACAAGTAGAGGAACTGATAGGGAACAGCATGAATCCTGATCAGACTGCATTGATGGGCAGACTGGTCTGGATCTATGCTGGTCGCAAACACACTATGTTGGTTTTGTCGTGACGCGGCTCATATCAGTGTATCTTAGATATTTGTCATCTGATATTGGTATATCGTCGATATGCATTGCACTTAATCAATGACAGCTCTACAAAAGACTAATTTTACTTCTAAAAATAAAAACATAAATACATCTAATGAATTTTAAAATTGACACCTCAAATACTTTTGATCTTACTTTATGTCAAATTTAAGAATGAAAAATACAAAGGTCTTCTAAATAACTAAAAAAAAATATGGAGAATATGCAATAAATTCATTGTTCAGGCCACAATGTCAATGCAATCTATCACATTGGTACAAGTCAGTATGACTATCTTTTGTGCAATTTTGGGAAAGGATCTGGGTCCAGCCAATGATTTGGGAAAAAAGACCATGTGATACCTAAATTGGAAACAAAGAATGTTGCTTTTTTTCACATAATGTAGGCAGTGGCATAGCGGCAGTGTCAATTAATTGTTTAGAGACAGCAAGCTTACAGAAACATGGTGGTTCTTTTCAGATGCCAATCCTAACACAGATTGGTGCTAGAAATAATATTTGAGCTTGATAATGTTGCAACGCATACTTGTATTATCAGAGTGTGTAAGTTTTATTCAAATACTTTTGGCTACTTGAATTCTTGGGTAAGGAATTGTTAAAATTGTAAGGATTTATAATAACTATCATATTCCCTAATATATATGCACTATGGGCATTATTTTTAAGTGCATGAACAACTTACCAGTACTGATGTCAGTGCTACTATCCTCATTCTCAATCAACTCACTGTATACTAAAAATGAAAAAAAAGAATTTGATTGTACTAAGAAATGGACAGTTTGTCTGAATAGACTTTTCTCTCATTCTGCTATAACATATGCAATAAAATTTAAAAGTATAAGCTGACATAGTACTTTCTGTTTGGCTTTTTTCTACTTAAGTGATACCAGTATTCCTTTATTGAATACAAATGTCTACATAGATCATTTTAACTAACTTGTTCAATACTTCATAGCTACTCATGTTAACATACTATAGTGTACAAGTCATGTAAATTGTCAATAAACTTCAGGCACAAGGAATTCCATTTCATCATTTATGGAAACCAAGTACAATTTTTTTAATTAAAGTAGCTAAGTTGGTATTTATAAATTAGTGGACTGCAAAGTTATAGTTTTGTATAAATATTTATCACAATTTCATCTACAATATTAGAGAGAAAATATAATTAAAAAAAAACTATATGTTAAGCATAAAATGTTTATGCACAGTTATTGTACATTAGTTTTTTATTTTATTTTTAACACTGCTTTTCCCAAAATAACCTGTATGGAGAAGGGTACAGTTTATTGATATTAGAGTGTACTGGATATTAATAGTCAATTGTTAAATAGCAAATGCTAAATTGCACATTTGACAGCTTTTCTGTAACATGTAGGCTTCATAACTTCTGATCCCCTTTCAAAATTCCATTTTGTTCAGTTCTGCCCAATGTTCACTTCTTTTAGTACACAATTATTTTTTACTTGGGGACCATACACTGCTTTAATGGAATTGCACAAATTGAGCAAGGTTTTATGATCACCGCCATATGAACACATCTGCGGATGTTTCTAAATTCCAAATTACAGTATTTTAGTTCTGCTAAAGCTGGTGCTAGAGGGCTTGACAGTAGTTTGCAGCACTTTCCAGTAATGTCCATGAACAGGCTCAATCAAACGGAGCCTGCTACATTTTCAGTTTTGCTGTTTTGGACTTATTTTAGGGAATCTTTTTCTCAATCTGTCTATTTTTCTGAACCCTACTAGCTTTGTAAAAACACTAACAGTCTCCTGCTAGGTAAAAAGCTAACTTTAGATATCTAAAGAAAGAGCATATTAACCTGATTTATCGATAAAACAAAGTGATATTAAGGTACCTTTCTTGAAAATCTTGCAGAAAATGGACCTAGAATCTTTCTCCAGAGCCTTTTTGAATTTAGAACACAGTAGATTCTTGTCTGCTAGAAAATCCTTTATTCTGACTAGCCTCAATGCCCCTTCTGTTGTCTCAATCTGAAATAATATAACATAACACTTAGCAAAATGAATGGCCTTTAAACAATCTTTAGTCATATTTAAAAGAGTCATTACCATTCCAAATTCATTTTTGTATGCAATATTGCACAGTAAATGGGGAAAAACAAAACATAATGCATGCCTTTATAATTTACCATTACATTTTACAACTGTTTTTTGTTTTGGGTTTTTGTTGTTGTTATTTTGTTGTTGCTTTTTGTTGATTTTTATATATAATGTGATTGTATTTACTGTCAATCAACTTTTCTGATATTCCATAGACACCAAATAGTTCTATCATTCAATAACATATAAGTAATATTAACAAAAATGCTATAATTTATTCAGAGATTTATGACCCTTCTCAATTAAAAACCAATGAAATTGAAGCGTAAATAATAATGCTATAATTTATTCACAGATTAATGACCCTTCACAGCTAAGGAAGGGTGCGAAAGATTGGCCCCTGATTTTAATCATCAAAGTCTAGTATTATGACAATTAACAACATGTAGTGAAATGCCATTTAAAAAGCCCCTCATGTCAGCAGGTGTCCATGCAATTTACCGCTATCTAGACTGGACAAAGTGGGAGGGGGTGTAATTTGCCTACAGCATTCTAATGTTACTCCCCATAGATATTATTCTTTGCGTAGGAAACGGACAGTTTGACTAAAACGGTTCTATCAGTACTTTGAAATAATTGCTGTAAAAAAACATGTTTACCTCTTTGTAAATTAAAAGCTACCATAAGATAAATCCCTGTCACGAATGAACAGACGACGCCATTTGCCATGGCATACTCGATTATCATCATAATACGCAGAACAATGTTCCATGACTGGTTCGTTATTCAGAGCGTTCGGTGAAATATTTTAAAGTAAGGCCTGTTCATAATTCCAAGTAAAATTATTTTTATCAGAGCACTAATACCGGAACATATTTTGTATGACAACGTAACTTATAAACCCACCTAAATCGAACTAAACCAATACCGTCATCTTTACTCAATAAACTTTTAAAAACTAGTAATTATTTAGTTTATCAGAAAGCCCGAAAATTTAAAATTGTTGTGCATAATTGATGTTCCAGCAACAGTCAATTTAAATTATGAAAGGAAGTCTAATATAATTTATAATATGAGTATAAGAGGAGTATGTTAGAAACACATGCTGTTCAAATTAGTCCACTAAATGATTTTAAAATTGATATTAAAAAAATATGTACTTCACCCAGTAACATATAAATATATAACATTAGCAGAAATGAATTCAAATTTCAATGTCCTATTCTTTATACTTTCTATCGTTTCGATACTTGTAATATATTTATTTATATTTTTTTGTTGTTAATTGTCTTAAAGCATTAATACAAAAGATTGTAAAATCATCATTCACCAAAGTGCATATAATAGAATCATATTACTTTCATTGCAGGAATTTATAGAAAGAAATCTAGGAAATATTCTCTAAATATGCCTTTCTAGAACTTGACTGATAGAAATAAGCATAGTTACTCAAAAGACCTGGTGAAATAAAATAATGAGAGAACGGTTCTAGATATACCAGTAAATTAGCACTGACAATGACCGAATTTACTATGTTTATTCTGTGACATAATATATTAATTATCTGGGACATAATGAAATATAAGTATTATGTCCTAGCTTTATTGTTTTTCTTTCTATCTTGACATGAGTTGAAAATATGTTAAAACACGGACTTGAACTGAAGTCCATGGTTAAAATAGGTAATACAGATCTACTAAGTAATCTATGAAAATATCTTACCTTTAGAGTGCAAACACTCGAACCAGGTGTTATAGATGTAACATTCCCAGGCTGTGTCTCTCCTTCTTCTACCATCAGTATTTTACTACCAACTTTACAAAGAAACCAAGACATTCTTACGGGTAGATATAGCCTTACAAATTTTTTTTAAAGCTTGGAAAAAACTACCACTTGACACTTGCCAGTGAAGAAATGACCTTTGGCAAGACCCGGAGTCACGGCAACCCGAATTTCGACCAGTAAAAACAAACGGTTTCAAATCACGTGACTATTAAAATTTCCGGTCATCACGCTGAACATCAAAGGTTTCCTTATCAGCAGCTAAAAACGGGGACCCCGATTGAGATATTCGGTTGTCACGTGACCCTGTTGATGATGGAACCGCGCGCCAATTACTGGATAGCCAATTAAATTACCCGCTAATCATGTCGCACCAGTATGACTATCAATTAAAATTCAGACAGATTTTATAAGCCGCTGATTTTGGAAGAAGATGGAGCCGAAAATTATGCAACTTCTTCAGATTTTTTCCATATTGGTAAGTCATTTATCATTTTGTTGCTTTTTTATTTATAATTGTGTGTGAGTGCTTTTGAGTATATAATACTTTGTGATTGAATTATATTGGAAAGTATGTAATACAGTACATAATTGCATAGAAAGTATTTATTGTTAGGCACATACCACGAAAGAAGAATCTTTATCAAGCAATGTTTTATAAGAAAATTCAAATTATGCATTCTATTGTTTTCTGTCAATATTTTATATACATACGGATAGAATGCCCATTGTAAACCAGTTAAGTTTAAATATTTTCATGATTTAATTAGTTATATATCCAAAATTATTTTGACATTACGAAAAAAAAAAGAGTTCAGTATACAAAAATTACAATATAATTATCAATTATATTAGTTAGATGTAATTTGATTGATGATCTAATAAGATCGATTTTAAAAACGAGTTAAATCTTAAAATATTAGAATCCGAATATTTACTTTGGAAAAAGAATATTTTGAAATCTATAAAACTTTTATAAATAGAAAATCTGAAATACCTTTGAACATCTGAAGACCAAGGTGATTGCTTAATTATGAAAATGTTTCATTGAATAGATTTGAATTGAATTGTCATAGATATATTCTTTCTTCCTATGCTTGTTTACCTGTACTTAATTACTTTGACTTTTAATTTAGGCTGCTGTAAAATACCTTCATACATTAGGTTGCCATCGTCAATTATGTGCATACAAATTTACTTATAAATACAATTGAATTTCCTTATTCGTGATCAAGACCGATTGTGATTAACAAAAAATTCTCAAAACTTAGTTAAGATCTGTAAATTAATATTTTAAAAAACAAACTTTCGAAAAATTTTCAAACTTTATATAGATGATCCTTAATCGGTGCTATTTACTTCACAGCTATCTTAATTTAAAAACTGTTATACTGATCACTGATCCGTAGCAATGATCACCAAGTAACAGTAATCCCCCCCCTTCCATACCAATTAACATCACACAAGTTATGAGTATGGACTATGGTTGACTGCATTATCGCACATTTGAGAAACGATTAGCGTACTGTATATAATAATTGTATATAATAAATTATGACAAGCCATTTCTTCTTGCACGGGTAAATGATAATAATAAATAATTTTTAACATAAATTTATAACAATGCGCTAATATTTCTGACTGAAAAAAACAACAAAACATAATTTTATATTCATACTTACGCTCTGTTTCATACTCGAATCCAATGTCGCTAAGTATTACCTATTTTATACACAATTTAATTCGATTATTATTGTAGGTCCTTAAAAAAACCCAACATAAATCGAGGAAACTTATTGTGGCACTTGCTTACAGGTTTGCAGATTGAATGTTTTAATAAGGATTCCAGGTATAAAAGCTGGATGTATCATTAAAGATATATATATATATATATATTTATCCACATGATGTGGTTACCTTTGACTTGAAACTGACTATAACTGACCGGACAATTAAACTTTGACATAGACACTACGATGCTTTTGAGTTTCTGATGCAACAAACATTGAAACAAATAGACTCGTCCAATTTGAAGGGGGGAGCACTACGTATTTACAGAAAACAAAGAAATTATATTAACAGTCAATAATGAACTTGAAGATTTGCCATTTTTTATAAACTTTGCTACTTAAGTTTAATGATCACAATTATACTGTTTTTTGTCGTCTGCTGCTAACTACCTCTAAACTAAAAGTAAAACTTCTTGATAGAAATACCTTCTTACATGTATACTCGGTATCCTATGATATCAAGGGTTCTATGATATCAAGGTATTTAAATTTTCTGAAACTACTAGTAAAAGCAACTCATGATGATGCTGATATTTGTAAAACTTGCACACTAGATTCATTTTCATCTGCCAATAAAAATTTAATTTGGTGAATAATAAATATATTTGTGGCAAAAAAAACTATTTTATAAAACCTTCATATTTTACTACCATTTTCCTTAATGGTTTTTACACAGTCAATTAAAATATGTTTTAAATACATATACTGACAATATAGTCTGTTCATATAGTTTTAATTTTATAGCAAGTTAACTGTTGGAAGTTTTTCACAACTTTACTTGAAAGTTTTGACCCATCTATCCGTCCATACTTGCTTTTTTGGGGATTACCTTGATACCGTAGTAACCTCCTGAAATTACCCAAAATGGCAGACATTGAAAATATTTTAAAAAATGTCATTTTCATTGGTTCTTTTGGAGTCCAAGATTTAAAAAAGATATTGAAGCAGTCGAAAGAGTCAGTTAAAAAAAGAGCAACAAAAATGGTTCAATGTATCAGAAATTTATCGTATGTAGAAAGATTAAAAATTCTGGAAATTTCTACTTTGGCTTACAGAAGATTTACTGGGCAGGAACCAGTTTCCGGACAAGTATTATAACGGCTTAATTTTGGCTTTATCAATGACGCTCGGTATAACATGTCATGAAGATGCTTGGTTTGATTGTTTGAGAAAATAAACTTCCTTCCAAGTTGATACATCATTAAAATTTCGCGAGGATATCTTACCTGAGTTTTAAAAACAGCCTTATATCCCTTTGGGGCATGTAATTTGTTCTGCGCATGCGCAATATTTTGGGATATAATTTGGGGTAGCAATTAATGCACAATGTACTTCATTCGAAGTTCATTGGGTGTAATTCCCCAGAGCTAAATCTGTAACGTATCGGAAAACGGTGTACAGCTAGGTTTACTCCACTTTCGCACTTTGTTGCTGCCGTACACACAAAAAATATCCGTTTCACTAAAAAATTTCAGTCATTCCGAGATCGTTATTTTTCCTATCATAAACATTTTTCAGTAAATCAGCTTAATTATATAAGAAAGCTAATATGTGAGAAGAATTTTTTTGTTGTATTAGAATAATTATCAGTTAAAAACAGATATGAATATATGTCCGGAGACTGGTTCTGCAAGAGTGAACAATTTACACTTTTGATGACCTAATTTAACCCTTCAGTTCGTACATTGCTTACGTCACCAAGCAGTATTAATTGTGTTATCGAACGTAGGTAGAGCTCAGGTTTTTGGTATGTTAGTTTTATTAATGCATGTTTATTATTAGAAAATAGACAATTAAAAAAACTCGAATTCTGTCCGGAAACTGGTTTCTGCCCAGTAGAGGTGATATCATACAAGCATGGAAATTATTAAATGGGAAGGAAGATATAGATTATAATGTATTTTTTGAAAAAGCACAACTTGATAATCATCACATCAGAGGAAATTCCATGAGGTTGAAAATAAAATCATGTAAAAAGGAAATAAGAAAATATTTTTTCTCATTAAGAGTATAGTACCGGAATGGAATAGATTACCAGATACTGTAGTATGTTCACCAACGCTGAATTCGTTAAAAAACAGACTCGATAAGGTTATGAAAAACAAATTATATACTGTTATACCGGATAATAATCATTGGGTGTCAGACCTTGAGGGGGTTACAAGAGATTTCTAATCGCGCAACCCTACGCTGGATAAAGTAAGTAAAGTAAGATATCAAAATAGAGCTATCCATAAAACAAAATGTAGCTCCTTATACATTCTGAATGTTTTGGATTTCTAGGTAAATTTTAATACTGTATTGTCACATCTCAGTGAGTTTCATCAAGCATTAGCTAAAGGTCTTCAGCATACCCGTTTATATACTATGACATGACATGAACGCTGAGACAGACCCGTAGGGAAAGTCCACCAATAATCGTGCCAGGAATCTGACACACTCATATTCATTCATCGGATATGCCATGATAAAACTTTATATAATCTGTTGATAAGCCAAGGATGGACAAATAAAAATCTTATTACGAACATAAACCACCTAATAGTTTCCGACAGGTAAAAAATTCAGCACTTGGCCGCCATATTACAAAAATGTTTGACCATGTGCAGGGCCTTTTTACCCTTCTGTACTGTAGCCGGTATTTGGCTACTTCCCCAAGCCAACTTACTACCTTTTTTCCCCAAAAAACAGTCTAAAATTCCCCTTCTTGCAAAGATTTTCCCTTTCAGAGAAATGTTACATCGAAGAAAAAAACTTGTTAACAAACTTTCTTGTTTAAAAATAGATCATTGTTTTTGTTCAATGAAAGCTAATTATTCAATTACCCACTAGAGGGATACCTCAAATCAAGAACCCAGTCACATGTCATACGTAAATTTTCTATAATTAGGAAATATGAGTTAATGTATTCTTAGGCAAATAAAAAGGGGCAATAAATTGATCTGTAAAAACATCCCTGTAACTTATGTTGGACAGAAAGCTCCTAAAATAAGTGTGTTTGGGGGAAAATATGCAAATATATTATGATATTTCCCCCAAATGTATGATTTAAATAAGTCTTTATTTATAGTAATAACGGTTAAACTGCCAGTGGAAAATGTGATTTTTTTCCCCAAAAGTATTAAAACCGCACATTTTTTCCCCACAAAAAGGGCTTGGGCGCCTTCCCCAAAACTAGTGAAAAGGCCCTGACGTGATTACGAGATTGACCTTTACGAACCCATGTGCTTTCAACTTTTTTATAAGTTACTTTTTTAAAGATTTTGGAAAAAAGGTGATTTACTGACTTTTGTATTAATATAGATCTAATCATATTTAAGTGCTAAAAATTAAAGAAAATAAATAAAAACATTATCTTGAATCATAAATATTGAAATCATGTCAACAAAGATGTTCTAAATATAGTACACAACTCTACTCTAATTGGTTCCTGCGAAAGACGTCATACGAGGTCTCGCATAGCTCCTAAATGTCCTCCATAGTTTCCTGCAAAGTTTTTTTTTACATAATTTTTCTTTATCTGTTCTAGGTACCAATATGCTTCGGTGGAGTATTCCGAAATGAGCAGAAAATTGATTTAATGAAGCAAAAAGAGGACAGTATATTGAGTAAGTAACTGATGTTCTAGACAGGACTTTATGAAAGCATGTTGCTAAAATATTAACAGGCAACCATCTTGAAAAGTTTTTTTGTGTTGACTGTTAAAGTAGTTATATATGTATATGCTTCAGGGTAAAATATCAGGTACATTTATGTGCTTTTTCATCCCAGAATTTTATGCACTTATTTGTGATGTATGTGAATACCTTTTTTTATGCCTTTTGCAATATTTCTTACCACTGGAATCTTTACTGTTTAGGGACCATTTACTACAGTTTAATAAACAATGTTATATTGTAGTCTAGATCTATATGATGTCAGAATTCATACCATGCTGAAGATTTACTTAGTATAGGTTAAAGTTTATTAGTATGTATTAACAAAAATAAATTAGTCAGAGAGACCAATTTATTTTTATTAATAATTATGTACTAATAAATTTTAACCGCCTTAGCGTTTTAAATTGTTTTAATAAACAGTCAAATTTACTACCAGTAGTCTGAATATTTACCAAAGAAAATGTGATATGATTCATTTAAAATACTGCAATCCTATTGGACAAAAAATAATTTCAAACACTAAAGCTATGTAAATCTTTATGATCCCCTTGTTATGCATTTACATTGAAGATCTGTATTTAAGGATAAATAATTCAGACCCTATTTCTGTTCATTAGTTAATATCTGTTAATCATTAATTTAGTTGTACTTTACTATCCTTGTGAATTTAATAAATTCCTGACCAATCCATTTAAAATAATACTAGTATTTCCTCTATAACATTATTTTAATGTTCATTAGCATGTTTTAAACAGTCATGTTTTTCCATTATGAATTGCAGATGATTCTCATCATGACATCACTGGTGTATCCCTTGATGATAGTCGAGTTACTGGTCTGTCAACAGATTGGGAAGACAGTGCCATAATCAGTAGCACTCCCATCTGCAAGTCCAGCACTGTTAACAGTTAAAAGGTTAAAAAATATTGTTTAAAAGTATTACTTATTGATCATATAGCTGTGTGGACAATTGCTACAAAAAATTGAGGTTATGAAGAATATTCAGGGTTTGTGTAATTTGCTGCAGAAAACGTTTACATGCAGCCAATATGTTGTCCTATTACCAGTCACTTGACATCTAGACTTAGACTTATTTTTCTTTTACATTTAAGGCCAAAAAAAAAACATCGTTTGAGCCATTTACAACAAATTGCTTTCAATCCTCCAAACTAATTTTTGTACATGATAACTTCTTGTAATTTTGCCACCAGGCATATATTCCCCAGCATTATTCTTCTTCATGCTTCATTTGCACATACCATAGCATAACTCTAAAGGTATTTGAGATACCAAGATCAGAAGATACCAAGTGAAAAGGGACTTGTAATATCATAGATAAATTCCATTCAGAGGGAGAGCAGAATGAAAGCATTATAACTCTTCACTTGATGAATCTTTGATTATCCCCCTTTATTATTTTTGACCGGGTTGCTTAGGTGCAAACCCGGGTTATAGTATGGTGAATGATGGGCGTTTGGTGGGCGGGGAAAATTTTCGTAACATTTTTCTCAGCAGCTACTTATCACAGCCTCTTGGTATTTGGCATACAGCATTAACACATTGTCCCATACCGTGGGATTCGATTTCAGGTCTGTTGCTCATCCACTTCCTGTTTACTGACTTAGTTAAATTTTCGACATTAGTGGTCAATGGTAGGAAATTTTCGTAACAGTTTTCTCTGCAATTGCTTATCATAGCCTCTTGATATTTTGCATACTGCATTAACACATGGCCTCATACCGTAGGATTCGATTTCAGGTCTGTTGCTCATCCACTTCCTGTTTACCAACTTAGTTAAATTTTCGACATTAATGCTCAGTGGTAATTTTTAGCTCAACTATTCGATAAGAATAAGTAGAGCTATTGTAGTCACCTGAGCGTCGACTTAGAATTTATGTTAAAGTTTTTGTAATACTTCAAATATTTTCAAAGTCCATTGACATATGGCTTTGAAACTTTGCACACTTGTTCACCATCATTGCCCCAACCTATAAACAGGAGGAGGTAACTGTATCAAGCATTTTGACAGAATTATGCTCTTTTTTGGACTTAGAATTTACGTTAAAGTTTTTGTAATACCTCAAATATTTTCAAAGTCCATTGACATATGGCTTTGAAACTTTGCACACTTGTTCACCATCATTCTCCCAACCTGTAAACAGGAGGAGGTAACTGTATCAAGCATTTTTTTTTACAATCAAGCACTAAGAATAGTCGAGCGTTGCTGTCCTACCGACAGCTCTTGTTGTTCGTTACATATCACAGCCTCGTGATATTATGTATATAAATGCAACCCGCCCTTTTCTGTCTTTGACCAATTTTTTATGCTTCGGTGTGACGTCAAACCCAATCAAACAATCAAATATCATTGTTTTCAAATGGACATTTGTCCAAAGAATGTGTAATTAACTTTAATGTCACAGTGATTTCAGATTAGTTAGTCTCACTGTGAAAAATGAAACATAGCAGGATATAATTTCTATCACATAACTAAATGCTTATAAATGACTTGTTTTCAATTTTTTCAGATGACGATAGTTATGAAGACCCAGTTGGTGTATCAATGAATGTGTCAAGTGGGTACTTATCCTCAAACCCAAATGCTGAATTAGTAACTGAAAACAACAAAATTTCTTGCCAACAAACAGAAATGTTGAGTAGTAAGTCTAAATTTTTATAAAAAGTATAAATGAATTGAAAATTGTATTTTCATGCTGTCCAATTTAAGTGAATAGATTATAAACTGTTTCTACATTTATTTTTTTAAAGATATCTTATGCTCAAATTTGATATCAGAAAATATTGATAATTGCTACACAGTCTCTTTGTTAATATGAAATAAACATGCTTTGACTTCACACAAATGACTTCACAGGATGTCACCCTGTTTGAAACTCTACACAAAACTCTACATACTGAAGGTTGTCACATTATGTGAATATTTAGTGTAGTTAAAAAAATGGCAGTTTTTAATTTTTTAAGAAAAGACCGACTTAACTTCTGTCTACTGTACTAATAGAGAACATGACTTCCAAAACATAGTTTGTTCACTTTTTTTATCCAATTTAGACATATGCAGTAAGAAATTTATAGGTTTTAACAAATTTCTTCGATTAAAATATTTTACTCAAAGATGAGCATTTAAGTATATCTTTAAACTTTTTCTTTGTTGCTGTAAATAGTATCAATTTAAGACCTTAGATAATTATTCTTTTTCATCACTCATATCATGATTGTATGACTAGGTTAATAATTCAAGCATCTTGTCTTGTCTTTTTCATTAGTGCATAACATTTTCAGTGTCAATTTTATTGTCAATTCATCCTTTATCAAGCTTCTATTTTGTTTTTGGTCACCTGTCGCAAAGTGACATGGCGAGCTTCTGTGATAGCTTTTTGTCCATCCAGCGTCTGATAACTTTTATTTTAAACGACATCTCCTCATAAATCGCTTAGCCCATTTCATCCAAACTTCACAGGAATGTTCCTTTGGTGGAAGGTGGTTACCTATAAAAGTTGCTTAAAGAATTTAATTCCATGCAGAACTCTGGATGCCATGGCAGTGAAAAAATCTTTTTTTTAAAAACCCGAAAGAGCTAGAGAATAGATATTTGTTATGAAACATCTTCTAGTGAGTGTCTACCAAGTTTGTTCAAATAAAAGCCCTAGGGTCAAAATTGGCCCCGTTCCAGGGGCTCATTGATTTTCCTTACTGGTACACATCTTTTACAACTGCTGTTTTCACTTAGCAATAGCAACTAGTAATGTTTTAACACATGCACTATTTCAGATTCAACTATGAACTTTGAGACATGAGTTTCAGATTTAGATTTTATGTCTTCTTTTGTTTTTAGTTGACAATATTACTTATTTCTTGTCATGGAGAGTTTTTATTTTCAGGTGAGCTTTGTACATGCACAAAGGTTTCTCTTTTAATATCATTCAATATGATAAAATGAACATATTGAATTGACAAATGTGAAAGAAGCCAATATTTTGGATTTTGATTTATTTCTAGGAAGTGTTGAAGATGAAGATTGTTTTGAAGACCCTGTTGGTGTATCGCTGAATATAGGAAGTGGGTACTTATCTTCTGACACTGCTGTTGAAGACATGACACCATTGACCAGCAAAACACCTTTCCAAAGACCAGAAATAATAACCAGTAAGCCTACTGCTTTTATTAACCAATTTTAGAGTTAATCCTTCCACTGTTGGATATGGTCTTTTCAACCAGTATAGGTAGCCTAGCCTGCAACATAATTTCAGATCGACCAGGCTCTATATTGTTTAATGACAAACTTCAGTTTTTGGCTCACCTGAGCTAGGTCAGGGTGTGTTTTTAGGATCGTTGAATGTCCGTCGTATGTCGTACATCAACATTTGTTTGTTAACACTTGAGCTGTCACATTTTTGCCTCAATCATCATCACACTTTGTCAGGTCAAGGTAATTGGATGATTTCTAACATGGGTCAATTAGGATGAAAAACTAGGTCACAGGAGCTAAAAACATAAAAATTTTGTTAACACTCTAGTGGCTACTGTTTTGATCCAAATATCCTGGTAATTAGGTCTGAGAGTTTGTTTTGATGATTTGTAAATCAAGTTTGAATATGGGTCACCTTGGGTAAAAAACTAGGTCACAATGCCCAAATATGGAAAAAACATTATTAACTCTCTAGTATTCACATTTGTGACTCAATTGTCATGAAACCTGGTAAGGATGCTTGACTAGGTAATTGCTCGGATGAGATTGAAAATGGGTCATCTCAAATGAAAAACTAGGACACAGGAGCTACAAATAGAACATTCTTGTTAACACTCTTGGCTACTGTTTTGCTCCAAATATCCTGAAAATTTGTTTGAAAGTTTGTTTCAATTTCTTTTAAATCAAATTTAAATATGGGTCACATGGGGTCAAAAACTAGGTCACACTGCCTTAATATGGAAAAACCTTCTTAACACTTCAGTAGATTGTTAAAAATCAATGTAATCAATTATTAGTGCTATTCTGAGCTTAATTTGAGGAGAAAACATTTACATGCTTATTTTGTGCCCCCACTGTAGGGTGGCATTTAGATTTACCCTTGTCCGTCCGTCAGTCTATTATTTCTGTCAGTCCATTGTCAGTCTGTTCTCTTTTGTGGTAGTTTATAAAGTATTTGACCTAGAGCCAGGAAACTTTTCAGGTATATTGGTCAGCTTGTGAAGTCTTGCACCTGAGTGTTTGTTTTTGTATTTATGAGTGTTTGTAGAGTAATTGCCCTTGACTTAGTGAAAATTTGCAATTTTTAACTTGTGTCGCACATAGCTCAAACAGCATCTGACTTATTGTCATGAAACTTTACAGGAATGTCGCTCAGCATGTGTAGTTGTGCACCTTGGTGTTTGCATGAGAATTTATTCAGAATTTGTAGAGTTATTGCCCTTGACTAAGTACAAAATGCAATTTTCAAATTGTGTTGCATGTAGCTCAAAATGTAATTGACCGAGGGTCATGAAACTTTACGTATGTTGCTCAGGATGTGAAGTTGTGCATGTAATGTTACACTTGTGATTTATTCTGTTTTGTGTACAGATATGGCCCCTGAGTTAGTAAAAATTTGCAGTTTTCAATTTGTGTAGTGAGTAGCTCAAAAATTATTTGACATAGAGTCACGAAACTTTACAGAAATAGAGGTTGGCATATGTAGTTGTGCACCTGGTGGTTTGATTGTGAATTTATTTGGTATCTGTAAGGTTATTGCCCTTGACTTAGTAAAAATCATTCCAAAATCTTTTGTTATGTGTACTTTTAGTGCTTGAGTTAGAATTAACCAACTTTACAGGAATGATGATCAACAATACTGACTGTGAATCTTTGCACCTAGGGTTTTGCATATAGATTTTTTTCTGGTTTTCTGAGAGTTATTGCCCTTGACTTAGTATAAATTATAGACTTGTTCATATATAGCTCAAAAAGTATTTGACCTGTAGTACTGAAAGTATACAAAAATGTTGGTCAGCATGTGTAGTTATGCATTTTGGGGTTTGCTTGATGATTTATTCAGTGTTTGTAGAGTTTTTGTCATCCACTTTATAAAAGATTTTCAGTTTTCAACTTGCTTCATGTGTAGCCCAAAAAATTTGTCCTTGAGACAGAAGATTGACAAAACAGTGAAGTGTTGGGGCCCCGTGTCCTATGGACACATTTCTAGTTGTCCCCCGCCTTATCGAAGAAAAAAGGGGGATATAGAAAAAGGCTCCGTCCGTCAGAGCTGATTTGCCTCGTAAACGTACGTCCGTCCGCACTACCGAATAGGATAGGGGGCCATCTAACTGTAAACGGAACAAAGGAGAACAATAGAGTTCATTCCGTAACAATAGAGTAAGGGGCTATTGGCCCTCTATTAAACAATAGAAAATAACAAAAGAAATGGCCCCTTATTCCATTTAGGCCGGACATCTTGCCGTCCGCCCGTCCTTCACACATTCGTGTCCGGTCCATTACTTTGTCATTTATGAAAGGAATTTGAAATAACTTTGCACAAATGTTTATTATAATAAGACGATGTGTCATGCGCAACAACCAGACCCCTACCTCCAGGGTCAAGGTCGCACTTGCTCGTTCAAGGTCAACATTGCCTATTTGAGGGTATATGTCGTTTCCGGTCCATAACTTTCTTATCTATGAAGGGATTTTGTAAATACTTGCCATAATTGTTCACAATAATCAGATGATGTGTCATGCGCAAAAACCGGTCACCTACCTTCAAGGTCAAGGTCACACTTGGAGGTCAAATATTAGCATAGTCTGTAACAGGGTATATTTCGTGTCAGGTCCATAACTTTGTCATTTATCAAAGGAATTTGAAATAACTTGGCACAAATGTTTGTTATAATAAGACGATGTGTCATGCGCAACAACCAGACCCGTACCTCCAGGGTCAAGGTCGTACTTGCTCATTCAAGGTCAACATTGTCTATTAATCCTAATTTGTGCCCTGTGTAAATGCCCTAAGCAAAAGGTTTTCTTGGTATTTGGGTTTGAAAGAAGGCCCAGATTAAAATAAATGTCTTAATTCCTTTTTTTTATATGAAGGAACAAAAATTGTCATTTAAACACCCCTCCCCCTCCCCCAAAGGTTAGGAATGAGAGCATTTTAATGAGTTAAGTGCTTAGAAGTATCAGAGCAAATCATAAAGTAGATTACAATCCAAATCAAAGTAGCCACGCCCAGTCACATATACATCAATGCAGTTGATTCAGATTCAGTTAAGCCAATTTATAACTCGATCACAACTATAGACTATAGTTAAGAAATAAAGTTAAGAGGAATGTAATTCAATTAAGGTTTGAGTCATATGGAGGTTGTTCTTAATAACAATGTAGTAATTTACTTCTAATAAAGTTTTTTGAAATCTAGATAAATATAGCTGTAAATCTTTTTCAGGTGAAGTTACTGGCAGCAAAAGAATGAAAGACAAAGCCCTTCAGGTGAAGAATATTGCGGAAACAAGAAAAGTGTTATGTTGTGACAAGAAGTGCATTAACTTTTTTACATTTAGTGACATCTTTCACTTTAGAAATGAATATTGGACAAAATCCCAAAGTGGAAAACAAAGTTTTTTAATACGGCATCTAAAAGAATCCCATTTCTCAGGAAAGAAAAGAATATTTTCTATTAATAAGATATCATTGTGTACAAAAGCATTCCTATTGTTATTGAGACTTAATAAGAATACTTTAAGCAAGGCTGTTAATTTAAAGAACAAAAATGCGATTACAGGAAGTGCAAAAAAACCAAGAACTATGACAAAAGAAACAATGAATGCTATTAACTTCCTGGATTGGTATTCAAAGTATTATGGTGACAAGATGCCACATACCAATGAGGTGTTGTTGCCGTATATCAGTACTAAGAAACTTATTTACGAAGACTTTAGGAAGAAAAGCAGCAATGAAAAGGCTGATGTGTCTGTTTCGCAATTTCACCTGATATGGAAGAAACATTTCTCACATGTAAAAATCAGAAAAGTAAGTATTTGAGATTGCATTCTAGCACTTTATTTATGGTAAAGTCACTTCCCTAAACAAGCACCTTCAGAGTTTCTGCCGTTAGTTAGTCCAGCATACAGCATGTTTGTAAATCAACTTTTTAACTGCTACCAGACCATGACTGGACAGGCATTGTGAAATTGCAGAACTGAGCATAATTGGTTAAATGTGACCAAAGTATTATCATTTTTAACTATTAAGGATAATAAGGCTTTCACTAGGACTTCATGACTAGATGTTAGATCTATAAAATATCTGACAGTATGTATCTATTTAAGAAGTCAGACAGCCCTCATACAGTCCAACATTACTTGAAGATTATCCAGTATGCAGTTCATTTGCATTTTAATATGTAAAAAGACCATTTATTGTCGAGTAAACCAAAGTTTAGATGTGAAATAAAAATGGGTTTAAATAAGATATAATGCACAACATGCATTCTCACTGTCTATAAAGCTTTGTTACTCAATTCATTTATCCTTTTAGCAATAAATTTTCTTTTTGTTCTGTGTTATTTATATAATGATAATGTGTTTTACAGACCAACACTTTCTCCAAATGTTCTGTGTGTACTGGATTTGAAAGAGAAATGGAAAAAACAACAGACGTCCTTATGAGATCAAGACTGCAAAATGCCAGACATGATCATCTAGATAGACAAATGTAAGTTGAAGGTTTTCTGGAACCAACATAATATTTATTTAGCAAGCACATGACGCCATGATGACAGGTTTTTTTGCACTTGTGACAATATCTAGTTAAGTTTCAGCAAGAGCTGTTGGTAGGTCAGCGGCCCTCATATATTCTCAGTGTTTGATGGATAAACAAGTGCCCGGATAATGTAGACTAGTTAAAAAAGGGATCACCAAAATTTAATGACATTATGACGCCAACACCTGCTGAATTAGTACAATAGCTCTCCCTTTTCTTCAAATAGTCGGGTTGAAATTTCATGTGTTAAAAATTGGAGTTGGAAGTCCTACATTTCTGGAAGTATAGATTGAAGCCTGAAGGACTTCAGTAAATTGAAGTTGAAGGCATTTGCTTAAAAACTCAGGACTGTTACGTCTAGCTGAGTTTTCTAACAGTTTAAGCCATCAATATTTACATGTGATTTTAGAAATAAGAAAAGTTAAGATTGTGATTTTACCATTGTACCAGAGGGGACTTTGGTGTATTGTTTGTAAGTCTGTTTTAAACTTTTTGGCTGTTTTTTAATATTTTAATTATTTATCCCTTTCAAGGTTAGAGAGAGCATATTATTATGGAAAGCGTGAGATGTCACAGAATGATCCTGATACCTACATGTCTATTATTGTTGATGGCATGGATCAATGTAAGTACATATTCATTTAAACTGATCTGACTACGGTTCAGGGCATGATAGCATAAATTACATCATCAAGTTCTGACTCATGGACTGAGTTTTAATGAATCTTATTACCCATTAAACATTCTAGTATATAATTCATAATTATGAGAATATGCAATAATAAATACAAGATGATATTAAATCTAATTGTATTAGACATACATGTATTATATTTAATATCTGTTAAAATCAGGGTAGCAGTGTCTCAAGTATTGCTGTGATACTGAAATCCTAACTGGTGAATAACAAAAGGCTCCATTTATTTCAATTACAATATGCATCACATATTTTGTCTGATGTAGTACTAGAATTTCCACATAGATTGTGTCTTGGTACTTTACCAATCCATGCTGTTTGGGATGTAAAATCAAATTAAGTATTATATGTGATGCACCTTAAAATTTTGACACAGGTACTATTGGAAATTCTTAAACTTTTAAAGGTTGGAATGTAGAATTATGCAGGTGTTGATCACTAAATGTTGCACTTGATAGATTTTTGTGTGTCGACTCTACAGAGTAGTGGCAACATATAGGGATCCCTTCTACGTCGTCTGTCCATCTGTCTGTCCGTCCATCACAAAACTTGTCTGGACTACTTCTTAAAAACTACCACAGAAGCTTGTCTGGACTACACCTCAGAAACTGCTGGTGCAATTTCATCAAAACTGTACAGGAATGATCAATACCATGTCTAGTTGTGCATCTCATCGACATTTTTCAGAATGTGGATTTTTGTCAAAGTAATGGCCCTTTGATTTGAACTTTTAAAATTTGTCCGGACTACATCTCTTATACCACTTATACAAATTCAATGACTTGATCAGTAGTTTTAGGACTTGTGCATATTACACAGGTTTGTAGGTTTTTGGCAGAGTTACAGCTGTCATGAGGCGACACATGTGATCACAGGTCGCTCTTGTTAATATCTAATGTTTTTGCATGGTTTTTTTTCCAGCTAAGTCTTCATTGCCTCATTTTGCTGGAAGATTACCAAAGGTAAATAAAGTTTAGTTTATTTAATACAATTAAATATTAGAGTGATAGAGATTTTACTTTTACTATCTTTGGATGTTAGTTTACACTTATAAATTGTGTGTAACACAGCAGTATTTACATTAGCAAATTGTCAGTTGTCATAAAATGAGGGCATGACATGAACAGGTTGGAATTAATTTATCATATAAATCTGCTAGATTCTCTCAGCATGAAATATAGGGAACACTATAACATTTATTTGTTTAATCTACCAGACTTATGAATAAATGTAATGCAATATATTTGGAAAAAAATGTGTGATAGTTCTAAGCTTATCTTTTAATTTAGGACCTTTATGCCCCAGAAATGTTTTAGTTTTCATTCCTCAATAGACTGGACTTATTTTTGAAAAAAAAAACAATGAAAATATTGTTACAGTCGCTTTGTTTTTGTCGTTGACGTAGCCGTTGTGGTCCGCAAACTTGTCACAAATTACTTTGCAACTAAATAGGGCTGTTCTCAAAGAAGTTTGTTGTTTAAGTTACAAAACTGATTTATCCACTTTCTAGACTAAGCTCTAGACAGAATCTTAATTGTGTTTAATTGACTTAAAAGCAACCTTTTAATTTATATGCACATTTTGGATTCACTTCACCAGACATGAACCTTGAATACTGGTTTGGAAATATATAGGGGACCTGATGTTCCATTCACACTCAGCTGTGCAAGTGAATGTCATTTAATTTGACAAATAGTGTAAAGTAATACAGATATCTATTACTCTATGAATTTATTAGTAATAATATAGTCATATTGGGGCTCAATACTTCGGACAATGGTGATATGTTTTAGTCAAACAATTCCTTAATCATTGTAAGATAATATAAGAAGCTGATAATGATTCAAGGAAGGTATTCAATGCAATTTGATAATAAACTCATTTTATCTTTCCTCATGATAATCTTTAATACATGTGTATTATAAATGCATGCAAGCTTTTATAAAATTCTTAAAATGACTAGCACATTTTTCAGACTGTTTTTGGTGGAACCGTACCATTTTTAGACAATTGTATATTCACTATTACATATTATGAATTGTGAACATACACAGACATTCAAGTATACATATTTATTTTTATATTTTCAGTTTATTAATGTTGGGGACTTGATGAAATGTCATATAACAGGTGTCCTTAACCATGGTGAAGATAAATTCCACACATTTATAGACTTTAATCAATACAGCCATGATCCAAATCTAACAATCAATGTCATACTGAAAACATTGTTATGGACTTCAGAGTCAAAGGTAAGATTAACTTGCATAAGAATATGCAGCTATTTAACATACATGTATAGATTTTTAGATTTTTGTTCATAAATTTGCGATAGCTTTTTATAAATGAACATATTATCTTTATACTTGTCTTTATACTTGCACACAACAACTATAGGAACAAAACTCTTATAGGAAAAGAAACGGATACATTGATGCCTGTCTTATATCAATATTTATCCTTTAAATGAGATACCATGATAGTTTCCTGTTGATATCAAACAGTTGACAAAGAAATTTGTGTTTTATGACAATACTTATTATGTGGACAAAACCATTTCGATGATCTTTAAGTATTTTGTGTCTGCACTTTATCTTATATACTTTATGAAGCACTTTATAGCTGTAATATTCACCTTCATTTATAATGTTAAATGGACCTATATAAAGCCCTGTGTCAAAAAGATATTGAAGTTATTGGCCACTCCTGTGAAAATTCTAGTTGGTCAAACTTTTGTCCAGCCTTGAAATAAGCTTGATAGAATCTACTTTTAAGAGCAAATTTGGATCATGTTGGTACGAAAACTAAATTATGTAGTGAGGTTGATTGTCAGAAGCAATATGAACAAATAATGATATCTACTTTATAATAGTGTGAAGTTTTGGAGACATCTGACATCTTGAAAATATTTTATCAGTGTGTATCAAATGTGCTTGAGATTAATAATTTTACTTTATGAGACAGACAAAAAAATTGATTTATTTTTGAAATGTAATGTTTTGCTGTGAGTGTTTAATAAGAAAATGACATTAGAGGTTATTGTGTGAGTTTAATATTGCAAGCTTAGGTAGATAACCAATGTTAAAAATGGCATACTTCCTTTTTTTTCTATAAGTTATAAGTAGGCTGACTTAATTTTTTTTGACAAGCATAACACTGATTTTAAAATAAAAGAAATATATTCTTTTAACATTGCAGACATCACCATATTATCCAATTCAAAGCAATAGTCAATATTTTAAGCTATGGTTTTTATATTTTAACACAACATACATGTTAACATGATCTTTCCTTTTTAGCTCACCTGAGCTAGCTCAGGGTGAGGTTTTAGGATCGTTTAATGTCTGTCGTCTGTACACACCAATGTTCGTTAACACTCTAGCGGTCACATTTTGCTCAATCATCATCAAACTTTGTCAGGATGCTTATCTAATTAATAGCTCAGATGAGGTCGAACATGGTTCATCTTGGATGAAAAACTAGGTCACAGGAGCTAAAAAATAGAAAAACCTTGTTAACACTCTAGTGGTCACATTCTTGCCTCAATCATCATCAAACTTGGTCAGGATGCTTGTATAGGTAATTGCTCGGATGAGTTTGAACATGGGTCATCTCGCATGAAAAACTAGGTCACCGGAGCTAAAAATAGAAAAATCTTGTTAACACTCTAGTGGCTACTGTTTTGATCCAATTATCCTGGAAATTGGTCTGAAAGTTTGTTTTGATGATTTCTAGGTCAAATTCGAATATGGGTCACCTGGATAAAAACTAGGTCACACTGCTCAAATATGGATAATCCTTGTTAACACTCTAGTGGTCACATTTTTGACTCACCTGTCATGAAACTTGGTCAGAATGCTTGTCTAGGTAATAGTTCGAATGAGTTTGATGGGTCAGGTGAGCGATCTAGGGCCATCATGGCCCTCTTGTTAGTATTAGTTTAGCTACGGTAATATGGTTAGGTTTTCTTCTTTTCAACTGCAAGTTCAAGCATTCATTATAGTATCACTGCAACATGCCATCTTTTATATAACCACTGTCTGATATTTTTCATTTGAAGCTAATAAAGCAGTTTTAGAATCTATGATTTATTGAAGATCTTAGGTTATTTTCAGCACAAATAAACATTTAAATTATCCACAATTTGGTCTCATTCCAGGGCAATAGACTGCCTGGGACATTGTACATTCAGGCAGACAACTGTTACAGAGAAAACAGAAACAGATATGTACTAGCTTTTCTGGAACTTCTTGCTAGGAAACGGATATTTAATCAGGTATGCAAAGATACATTCAAGCAACTATGTATATTGTTCTAAAGGTAACATCAGGCCAAAGTGTCAAATGAAAATTCTCTGAAAGACATGTAATAGACTGAGACAATATTGCATGAAAAAACATCTGGACAAAATTTTAATTGAACATTTTAAATAAAGAATACAGTCCAACCCTGATTATATGAATTGCCGGGACCTGAAAATTTACTTTGAATAATCAATGGATACGAATAGTTGAAATCCGGATATTGTGAAAGACGAAAAATACTTGACTTTGGCCTATCATATCAAAACTACTATTTACAACACACTTGTTTCCACCAATCAATTGAGAAAAATAAATATTTTAGAAAGGTTAAAAGAATTTATTTGGTATTTAAGACATAAATACTTGCAATTTATTCTTCGTTATGTAGCACATATAGCGTTTTCATGATAATTATTGCTGTCATCTTCAAGTAATAACCATAACAACATCAGACACGGTGCAGAAGTTTTTATTCTTCGGTAATTAATGTTAATTAAAGAACACACAATGTGTAATTATCATGATTGTCTAAATACACACATGACTGTTGGAAATTCTTCACAAATCAAACAGTAAGCAAGTGGATCAGCGCCTATAAGTCTGGCTTCAAATATTAGGCATTATTTAATTTCTTTCATAATTGTATAATCAGGCTGAAAAATAGGAGGTATTGGGAAAATGCGTTTTGAATAATATGTTCATTTTTATAATGTTTTATTTAAGAGATAACAACGCTATGGCCTATCTACTTCCAATAATGCTGAGTATTAAAATAAAGGTTTGTCGTATAACCAGGATCGGACTGTAATTGATAGTATCTATAAATTGACTTTGTTCTCCACACCTTGGTAAAACAAAACAAACAAAGGAGCTTTTTCAGTGTATTTATTCAAAGACCAAAGGAAAAGCTAACAAGTTGAAGGATTTTTTAAATTCCTTAATCACTTTGCTTACTTTTCATTAAGCTTTATTAGCTCTTCTTCTGTCAATTTCTCAAAAACTGTTCATCACTTAAAACTTGGAATATTATTCCATTTTTCAAATTGTAAAGCATTTCTGAAGGGCAGATAACTTTTTTAATTAATTTGTTCAGAGTGATGCCCCTTTTTTAACTTTGATTTACTTGGTAAACTTTTTGGTAAGGTACATTGCTCAAAACGTTTAAAGTTATTCACTTTAATCTTGGAGATATTGTTTACTATCAAACTTGAAGAGCATTTGTGCAAGGAGGGGGGGAGGTTAATCCTAAAAGCTGTTTTTAGCTCGACTTTTCTATGAAAAGGGGAGCTATCCTACTCGCCCCGGCGTCGGCGTCGGCGTCGGCGTTGGCGTCACACCTTGGTTAAGTTTTTCGTACCACCCCACTTTATTTCAGAAGTATTACAAGTATGGCTTTGAAACTTACCATACTTGTTCACCATCATAACCTCCATCTACAGACAAGAGTACATAACTCTGTCAAGGTTTTTGACAGAATTATGGCCCTTTTTTGACTTAGAAAGTGTATTGAGCTTGGTTAAGTTTTTTGTACCACCTCACTTTATTTCAAAACCATTGGAGGTATTGCTTTGAAACTGACCATACTTGTTTACCATCACGACCTTCATCAACAGACAAGAGGACATAACTCTGTCAAGGTTTTTGACAGAATTATGCCCCTTTTTGACTTAGAAAATACATTGAATATGGGTAAAATCCACTTATTGCCTTAACCCTTTGAGATATTGCTTTGAAACTTTTAATGCTATTTCACATCATTACCCCATCTGTACGCAAGAGAAGGTAACTCTGTCAAGGATTTGTTTTAAAAATTAAGGCCTTTTATCGACTTAGAATCTTGGTTAAGTTTTTAGTACCAGTCCACTTTTTGACTGAACTGTTTGAGATATTAATTTGAAAGTTGGAATACTTGTTTACAATCATGATTCCCAAACATGTCCAGGAGAAGGTAATTCTGTCAAAGATTTTATTTGAATTATGGCCCTTAACTGTCAATGTTTTGTATTATAGGCAAGCACTAAAAAACTTAAAAAATCTAAAAAAATTCATTCCTATCCACTTGTTCACTTTACCATAAATTATGTCATATAAACATTGCTGTAATATTCAAGGGTATCAAACAACTAGTTCACTTTAAAAATACAGAGATTCTTGTATTGCCTTTTACTGCAAAAACTTTTTTTATTGGCAAGCAATAAAAAAGTCGAGCGCGCTGTCTTACGGACAGCTCTTGTTTACTTAATTATTTCCATTGTTTGACTTAGAATATTTGCCTTTTTCTCAAAAAACATTTAAGATGTTCACTACAAACTTGAAATATTTATTGACTATCAAGGGTAGGTAAGTCTGATAAGCAAGTTTGCAGTTTAATTCCCCTTTTTTGCTTTTATTTTATAGTCCAGCACTGAGAAAAGTCCAGTGCACTGTCCATGGACAGGTCTTTCGTTCATACTAGTTATAGAAATTATTCCATCAATTGGCTATTGAACAAATGTCTTTACCTTTAATTGTCATATTTTTTCCCATATTTTAGGCCAATTGTTGAACATGCAGGCCAAAGACTTTTCATGACACACATCAAAATTCATAATATAATTAGACTGAATCAGCTTAATTAATTTATGTTATTTATGTTTATATTTGGTTGGCTGTCTGTTAACACACTCTTTTTTTCCATAGCTCCTCTTAGAAAGTAAATGAAACTTGACATACATATTGTAAAAATGCAGTTTACTTGCACATATTGTGATGAATTAAATAGTCATTATTATGTTATTTACTTAATTGAAGTTTTTAATTATATTGGAATATATTATGTTATATTATATTCTTATCTATTGGACATTTATGTAAAAGATCAGGGTTTACAATTTAAGTATTGTGTTGTTTTTTTTAGGTCCACTTGTCTTTTTTAATGGTGGGTCACACCCATGAAGATGTGGATGCTGGATTCTCTAAAATTTCTGACAAGTTAAAGATCAAGGACGCAGAAACAATCCCAGAACTTACTAATTTAATAACATCAGTTGGAACAAAATATACAGCCAACCCACTAGACAGAATGTTGAATGTAAAGGAATTTCTTACCCCACATATAAATAAGATAGACCAAATTTCTGAGCCACTGCATTTTAAGTTTGTTGCAAGCTCGAGTGGTGTAAATGTTTTTACAAAAGGTTATCACAATTCTGAATGGAAACGTCATGAAACAAACATTTTAAATAGCATACCAGATGGAAAGCCAGAAAGACTTGCAGTGTCAACTGAAAAAATTTCAATTAGTAATATTAAAAAGGTTGTAGACAATGTAAAAAATTACTTTAAAGGTTTATTTTCTTTAATATGGTGGAACAATTTTCTCGAGGAAATGAATGAAAAAATAAATGACAAGTTTGATATAAAGTGGATAGAAGACTTGCCAAGACAAACTGACTGTGATGACTTGCCCCTTCCTGATCACTTACAACAATTAGTAGACAAAGAACAAGATAAGAGACCGGTAAGATATTAAAATATATTTTTCTATGGCAAAAATTTCACCTGAAAACAAACAAATAAATACTTTAATATGATTAAGAGATTAATACAAGGCAGAGTAGGGCCGGAAGGTGATAATCGGCCCGCAAAATGAATAATGGCCCCGAGGGCATTATTCATTTCAGGGCCGATTATCACCTTCTGGCACAACTATGACGTGTATTAATGTCTTTAATACACTTGGTAGATCTAATATTAGCATTTTTCTAAAATAAAATACTTTGAAATTTATTTCGTTGAAGTTCCTGTCTGCATTTCTACTGTACAGTACAGAAACTTCTTCAGAGTTGTTTACTTTGTGTGTTCAAAGTACACTACTGTACTGTAGAAGCTAGAAGCAAGTTTTATTTTCATCTGTTTCTGGAATGAATTTGTCGTATTATTTCTTTAAATTTTAATAGTTAAAAATCTGTGTTCAGCTCTCATAATAAAATCAAGCGATTCATACTAAAAACCTACTTTCACTTTTACAGTTAACTGTTTGATGACATAATATATGACGTCATTGTTTCAGTTTGTGCACATGCACATGTTCTGCGGGCTGATAACTAGTTCTCGGCCCCGGGCCGCAAACTCATAATAGGTCACGTGACACTCATAATCAGTTGAAATCATAGGCAATTTTGTTACTATATATAGTAACAAGTGTATTAAATTGATATTTTTATTTCGAGTAAACTTGTAGGTAAGTTATCAAAATCATCTGTGTAAAATAAATTCTTTACAGAAAAAGACAAGGATATTCTTATTGGACCTATCTTTTGAGTCTGCCTCTTGCAAGTTTTTGATTGTCCAACATTTTACTGTTTAAGTTTAAGTCATTAAATTTAAGGAAATTTATTCTACATGAGTGTAATAAAAATATTTTTTATAACAATCTATTTTTATTGTAGATGACAGTAAAAGAGAAAAAGAAAACACCTGAAACTGTTCAACCAAAGCCCAAAAAGAAAAGAAAGACCAAAACAAATAAAGAGTCCCACAAACAGAAAGGTTAGTAAGTTGAAAATATTATGTTTTGAATGAAATACTTAACATGTCTGCCCACTAAGCTCAATAGAGAAGGCATCGGATTAGAAATCAAGGGTGAGCTGGTTAGGTTCAAATGAGGCCATAATTTGTGACAATTGAGTTTGTTGGTCATAAGTTTCTGTCCATTAATCCAGAAATCATTTTAGATAACATATGCAGTAAGCAGGCATTTGTGGAGCACTTGGTAATTACTGATAAGTTATCTAGGAAAGCTTATGGATCACCCACCTTGATATAACGAAAAAAATGGGATAAAGTAGGGGTAAAACCAGTAAAACAAACAATAAATCTTCATCAATTTTGAATGTTATTTGATAGGGATTCCAATTAGACATTTTGACATGATGGTATTGGAAATAATTTTTCAAGATGAATATTCCTTTCGATGAAGACAGACAGACAGTAAAGTTTATTGACGTAAACTGTACAGATTTTTGTCCTACATTTTACATATATACACAGACATATATTTGTCAAGTGATCAAATAAAGTTCAAACAATAATTACATTTTTATCACAAAAAATAAAAACAGATATATCAAGAAGGATAAATCAGCAACTTACATTTCTAGTTAATAAGACAGTTTTGATGTTTTACAGTAAAGTCTTTCTTAAATCTAATGCGTTTTATATGAATTTGTCTCAACATCCATATAGTAAAAATAAATTTTCAACAAACTGTCCAAGCACCCCTCCATACAACTGCTTAATTTGCTATCATCAGACAACATGTGTGATCACAGGTCACTCTTGTGTTTTGCAGGTAGAAGAAAGAGATTTCAGCACACAGAAAACGTAACAAGTGTTTTGATTTTAGTAGACATTGAGGACAAAAGACATGTGTGGATGAAAATATTTATTGACATGTATATATATATCTTAACCATTAGTATTTTACATTTGTGCATGGTCATAATATATCTTTTGATGGCAATGTTTTCCCTGCATGAACTTTTATATACAATTCATAATCTCCTGTGCTATATGATATTAATTCACACAGGGAACTTGTTTGTCAATGCATGTTTGCAGACATATACAGAAAATTATTTACAGTCATGTGTTTTCAATTTTCTATCAGTTTGTGTTGAAAAGAAATATGATGACCGTTTCGTGCTTTGCATTTGATATACAAGACTTATTTGTTTTAAAGCTCAGTTTCTTTTATTATTGTCCAGATACTAATATGTTTATGGATACCTCATTGCTGTGACTTACATAATGACAAAATATCATTCATATTATTTCCAGTTATCACAATGATAATCTTACAATAAATGATATAATTTGCTACATTGAATTGAAAATTGTAACAAGAATAAAATAATTAGCTTAAACTAGTAATATTTTTATTTTCAAGTAGATGCATTAGGTTTGTCATTAATTTAATAAAAGCCTGTCTAAAACTGTAATAAATACAATTTTTTCTTTGTCTATAGTAGGAACTTGAGAACTTTGTACATTGTTGTATATGTGTATATATGATATGTATATTATTAAGATTCGTTCTAAATCCTTTGATAAAACATGTATGTATATGTTTGTTGAGATGCATGCTCAAATATATAATTATATTTTGAGCTAAAATAATCAATTTGTAAGTGTGTGATTCATGATTTATTAGGTTATTTGCATTTTAATTTTCTTTCAGTGTAATTAATATATAACTATGTTTTGTTGCAAGTTAAATCAGGAAATCAAAGGTATTCACCTTGTTTCCATAGAAGTGCTCTTTCAATAAAAAATGACAGATGAAACAATATTTGGACCTAAATTGACACTGGTAACTAATATATTCATATATGAGAATCATTCGCACATTTTTGCTTTGCAATTAAGGCTTTGATGCACATGTAGTATAGTTATAGGTCAGAACTTTTAATTATGTTAATGTATATTTTTCAAACAAGCACTCTTAAAGGTTTTCGTTTTTTGCCATTTCTTTAAGAGTTCTGTCGAATTAATGAATAACATGTAGTTGTTGTATCAAAATATATACCAAACACAACCTAATGGTACTATTTGTTACACTTAGATAATTAGATAATATTACTTATAATGATGGTATCAATAAAATCTTAAGTGTGAGAAATTGATGCTTTTTTAAATGATAATGGCCTGGGAAAAAGCATACAATTATATTTAAACCTAAATTTGACATCAGATATATATTCATTAATGAGAATCATTCGCACATTTTTGCTTTGCAGTTAAAGCTCTGTAGCACGTGATATCAAGTTAAGTTTTAAGTCAGAACTTTAAATTGCACTAATATTTATTTTTTCCAACAAGCACTCTTAAAGGTTTTCGATTTTCGCCATTTCTTTAAGAGTTCATTGAAATTAATGAATTATTAAATATTATATTTATAAAACAACCTATTATCACTGTTTGTTGTACATAGAATGATTGTAGACCCAAAAATTCAATTAATTATCTTAGCTCAAAATTATAATTATAACATCGTGTGATCGTCAAACAATTCTATCACAAATTTGTTTAATCTGTTTTGTTAAGGGGGGAACGGTTCCACTTAAAAAAATGTAATTACAGATTATTTTCTATTTTTGATGAAGGGAACGGTTCCTTTTACCCGTAATAATTGGCTCTAACTTCTAAAGTATTACATTTTACTATATGAAATTGTTTAATCTGTTTTTTTAGTTTTTTTTTTTAAAGGGGAACAGTTCCACTTTAGAAAATGTGTAATAGATTAGATTTATAATTTACTTGTTTTTGTTTATGAGGGAACGGTTCCCTCTTACCTGTAACATCAGTCTAAATTCTTAGCTTCATCAAATTGGTTTATCTGTATGTTGTTTTTTTGTGGTGAACGGTTCCACTTTAAAAAAAAATGTGTTATAGGTTAGTTTTGTAATTTATTTTTATTTCGATGAGGGAACGGTTCCCTCTTACCAGTAACATGGCTCTAATTTCTAAATTATTGCATTTTATTTTATCAATTTGTTATATCTATTTTGTTAAAGGGGAACGGTTCCACTCTAGAAAATGTGTTATAGATAACTTTTGAAATTTATTTTTATTTCGATGAGGGAACGGTTCCCTCTTACCAGTAACATGGCTCTAAATTTCTAAATTATTGCATTTTATTTGATCAAATTGCTATATCTTTGTTAAGGGGGAACGGTTCCACTCTAGAAAATGTGTTATAGATAACTTTTGAAATTTGTTTTTTAATTCGATGAGGGAACGGTTCCCTCTTACCGGTAACATGGCTCTAAATTTCTAAATTATTGCATTTTATTCTATCAAATTGCTATATCTGTTTTGTTAAGGGGGAACGGTTCCACTCTAGAAAATGTGTTATAGATAACTTTTGAAATTTATTTTTTATTTCGATGAGGGAACGGTTCCCTCTTACCAGAAACATGGATCTAAATTTCTAAATTATTGCATTTTATTCTATCAAATTGTAATATCTGTTTTGTTAAGGGGGAACGGTTCCACTCTAGAAAATGTGTTATAGATAACTTTTGAAATTTATTTTTATTTCGATGAGGGAACGGTTCCCTCTTACCAGAAACAGGGATCTAAATTTCTAAATTATTGCATTTTATTCTATCAAATTGTTATATCTTTGTTAAGGGGGAACGGTTCCACTCTAGAAAATGTGTTATAGATAACTTTTGAAATTTGTTTTTTAATTCGATGAGGGAACGGTTCCCTCTTACCGGTAACATGGCTCTAAATTTCTAAATTATTGCATTTTATTCTATCAAATTGCTATATCTGTTTTGTTAAGGGGGAACGGTTCCACTCTAGAAAATGTGTTTTAGATAACTTTTGAAATTTATTTTTTATTTCGATGAGGGAATGGTTCCCTCTTACCAGAAAAATGGATCTAAATTTCTAAATTATTGCATTTTATTCTATCAAATTGTTATATCTGTTTTGTTAAGGGGGAACGGTTCTACTGTAGAAAATGTGTTATAGATAACTTTTGAAATTTATTTTTATTTCGATGGGGGAACGGTTCCCTCTTACCAGAAACAGGGATCTAAATTTCTAAATTATTGCATTTTATTCTATCAAATTGTTATATCTTTGTTAAGGGGGAACGGTTCCACTCTAGAAAATGTGTTATAGATAACTTTTGAAATTTGTTTTTTAATTCGATGAGGGAACGGTTCCCTCTTACCGGTAACATGGCTCTAAATTTCTAAATTATTGCATTTTATTTTATCAAATTTTTATATCTGTTTTGTTAAGGGGGAACGTTTCCACTCTAGAAAATGTGTTATAGATAACTTTTGAAATTTATTTTTTATTTCGATGAGGGAACGGTTCCCTCCTACCGGTAACATGGCTCTAAATTTCTAAATTATTGCATTTTATTCTATCAAATTGTTATATCTTTGTTAAGGGGGAACGGTTCCACTTAAGAAAATGTGTTATAGATAACTTTTGAAATTTGTTTTTTATTTCAATGAGGGAACGGTTCCCTCTTACCGGTAACATGGGTCTAAATTTCTAAATTATTGCATTTTATTCTATCAAATTTTTATATCTGTTTTGTTAAGGGGGAACGGTTCCACTTAGAAAATGTGTGTCTTCGATAAGTTTTGAAATTTATTTTTTATTTCGATGAGGGAACGGTTCCCTCCTACCAGTAACATGGTTTTGTTAAGGGGGAACGGTTCCACTCTAGAAAACGTGTTATAGATAAGATTTGAAGTTTATTTTTTATTTTAATGGGGGAATGGTTCCCTCTTACCGGTAACATGGCTCTTATTTCTTAATTATTGCATTTTATTTGATCAATTTGTTATATCTGTATTTTTTAAGGGGGAACGGTTCCACTCTAGAAAATCTGTTAAAGATAAGTTTTGAAATTTACTTTTTATTTTCGATGAGGTTCCCCACGTAAGCATAATGTATTTCTGATTACTGAAAAATTGGCTTTTTATTTATACAAGACATGTTTGTAATGGTTCCCCCGTAAAATAAATGTAAAAATAGTGCCTTAAAAAAGGGGAACGAGTGTATTTCCCCTTTTTAAAATATATCGAGTTAAAAGTTAAATACTATTTTATAGTTTAAATAGTCCTAGATAAATTTTATTCGACAGTATAAAAAGAAATTTATAATAAAACAGCATGTCATTAATTGCTTATATAAAGTTTTAATGTTCATATTTATTACATATGGACAAATATATGTTGCTTCTGTATAAAAATCCCATTGTTTAAGCCAATAATTATTATGTTAAAGAAAACAAATCGTTGAATTACTGAAGTTAGTAAATTTTTGATATTGTAAAGTATCAAGTGTAAAAAAATGACATACTTTTCAAGGTTAAATGATTTATAATGGTCAATTTTCTTTCTTACCATTTGCATTTAAACATTTTAGTATGTATTCTTTTATTCATTGTACCACAATGTAAACTTTCTGTAGGAAAACATAGCAATACGTTTGAATATATTGAAGGTCATATTTTTTTTTAAAATACAACTGATAATTGTGTAGCTAGGGGGGAAAACTCCTCAGTGCATAGAACAGTAACTGCTGTGATATGGTCTGTGGAGTTGTCTCCCTTAAAGGTAAAAATAAATAACCTTCTGTAGGAAAAACATGCAATAAGGTCATATTTTTTAAAATACAACTGATAATTGTGTAGCTAGGGGGGGGGGAACTCCTCAGTGCATAAAAAGTAACTGCTGTGATATGGTCTGTGGAGTTGTCTCCCTTAGAAGTAAAAGTAATTCTTTTAGAATGGCTTTTCATGTATTTTATGTGTGTGTTTTACGTTTTATATGTAATTTTGTGTATACATGTAAAGATGAGACTGAAATAAAGAAATTATATATTTTTTTAGGAATGATTTCAGTACATACTAAGTCTTTAATAAATTCTTAAAGACGGTTTGTAAATTATGTTTGCCAATCGAATAGAAATTTTATTTATGGCACGTCCATTTAGTGATTGATTTAAATTCCGGAAGAGTTATGTTGAATATAATAAATAATTTCCCACTTTATTTTCTTTCCTTCGTTTTTACTTTACTGTGCTAGTATATATACCCTTATGCACTTTAAAACGCTAATTAAATGTGGGCCGTTAGCTTTTCGGCACTTTTGGCCTTCTTCAGCAGCATTTATTATACCATATGTATTTAGTAATAAAGATTTTTGACACGTTATATGGTCCTATATAAACGGTTGTTTGTAAATATAAACCGAGCCGCTAGGCGAGGTTTATATTGCAAACAGCCGTTGATATACGGCCATATAACATGTCAACGATCTTCATAACGAATTTTTAATACAGCAAGCATCATTTTTAGAGGAATAAAGCGAGATTTCTTCATAAATCGACAGCAGCCGTGTATATAAAACTATATAAACGTCACGATTATCCAATGAAAAGCGACGTTACAAACGTGCAGTATTATAAAGTTTTATATACACGGCTATTGTCGATTCATGAAGAAATCTTATTTTTTCTCTAAAAAGTAATGCTTGCTGTATTATAAATTCGTTATAAAGATTGTTGACAGGTTATATGGCCCTATATAAACGGCTATTTGTAAATACATATACCCGAGCCGCTAGGCTTTATAACTAATAAAATAATGAAAAATGACGTTACAAACGTGCAGTATTATAAAGTTTTATATACATGAAAATATATAGACAAGTCAGCTGAACTTGCAAAAAATGAGCAGACTATCACTTCAAGAAATAAAGGATATTGAATGAGTGTAAGTTCAATACTGAATTTCCCTTACCAAAAAAAGGGCTCTCTGGCGAACATTGCGGCAAGTTTGCCGCAAACATTGCGGTGAGTTTGCGGCAAACTGCTTTCAGCAATTATTTACCATGCAAATGAGGTTTGCGGCAAATTTGCCGCAACTCATGAGGTTAGCGGCAAACTTGCCGCAAACTATAGGGGGAGGTAGCTTCTGTTTGCGGCAAATTTACCGCAAACCTCATTTGCATGGTAAAAGTTTGCAGATGTTCGCCAAAAGTTTGCGGCAAATTTGCAGCAAACTTCATTTGCATAGTAAGTTTGCGGATGTTCGCCAGAAGCTTTTGGTAACACTGCGGCAAACTTCATTTGCATATTTGCCAGTTTCAGCAAATATGTTATGGGCGATATTTTGGCAAACATTTTGGTAAAGTTCTGGCGAACAATTTTTTCAAAACATTGGAATAATAAAAACTAGCTGAATTATAAGAAAACAAATACATATTGGTTTAACACATTTTTTCAATAGAAAATAAAAGAAATATTACAAACATATCAGTAGAATAAAATGAAATTTGATAAATTTGTAAAATAAAGAAATTAATTCCCAAAAAAGGGATAAATTTTACACACACATTTTATTAGCAACTGATTCTATACATATTTGACTTTCATAAATTTCCACTCTTTAGTTATGATGCTATCATGAAATTGTTCATATTACTTAATAATC